ACTTGCAGGCGATCGTAGAATCTCAGTGAGCAATGCCATGGCCAGCCTGGCAGCGATTCTGAATTCATAAAAACGTTTAATGACGTAATCAAACGATGACGCATGATGAACATATTTACTGAACAATGAAATTTTGTTGTCCAGAGCAGCCTTTTGCACTTCGAAGCAGACCATGCATACCAGTGAATTTGTCCATCAAATGAGATGCTTGCCTCAGCACCTTCAAATGTGGAACATTCCTTTTGACCCATCAGTTGCTGTAGAGCGTTCTTAGGAGCTTTTAATGACATGACATAACTTGCAGACAGCTACGGAAGGAGCTAGAATTGTCAGTTATGCCCTTGAATTAGCATGGGAACTAGCTCGATCGCGACGCTGTTTGAGGTCATGCTATTTTTAGATGCCACGATTAGAGCCTAGTCGTTTTGGCTTTGTCTCATCATCTTGCTTGTTTGATCTTGCGGAACTGGTGAAACTTCGTTAAGACAACGGATCCAAACGCGTGACAACAGGTCGTTAGACGTCTTACTAAGTCGCCCTGACATGCTATCCCATTAGTGTAATGTGCTGGAATCATAGCATACCTATAGCAGGTGCAAGCTCATGGATGACCTAGCGCGTCAAGTTGTCCTATGTCAGTTTCGTTCATATTTTGCGCACAGAAAATAGGTATTGTAAAGCACGGTGTTTTTCGCGTTATGTGGTAGTCTCCCAGGTTCACATACAAGTAGAGAACACTGGCTTGCACATCGCCTAACCTTGTATATCATCAGTTCAAGGGGCTTTCCGTGCGTGTTCCGTGCAAATCATTACTTGCGAAGCATGTTCTCACGCCTTTTGAAAGGACAAGGTGTAACTCAAACCTGACTGAAAGGTGCATTTTAGCGCGCTTGGTTATGTTGGGGGCCGGCTGGGCGCACCAAAGCTCGATATATTCTCTGAGTCTCTAACCCCATCCTATCCCACAGGTAACATTCAGTCCAATTTCGCAATGTGCACTTCGCTCTTGTTTGATATCTACACATAAACTGAAAACTGGCATACACAGCGGCATAGCTATGAACTTTGGAATTAAGTCCATGTTTGACATCCTGACAAAAGTTTGAATGCCAGAGTTGAATGCCAAAGTTGATATGCGATTTGTTACATACGTGTGCGGCCTAACAGTCGGTGCATGAATGGCTAGCCCACTCCCCAGCATAGGGCTCCAGTGGTCCACGCTCAGCTCTCCCAGTGGGTTCACTGGCGAAGAAAAGACCTGCCATACGCACATGCTTGTGAGGCAACGAAACTGCATCGTTGATTAAAACCAACCATTTTCTAAAATGGATCGAGGCGTTCCCACTTGACCTGACCTGTGATGTCAGCGGCTCCCATAAAAGAAACACAAAAATCCCCCAGTGAAGCGAATGTGGCAACATGTCCAATTGAGCCGTGGGTTCAAGGGATTGTTCGACGTTCTAAGATATTTAATCGAGCATCAGGAACGGTGACATGCTCACTTATAAGCATTGGCATGCCTTTAAGTGAAAAAGACCGCTATAGGCAACACAATTTCTCTATGTAGTAAATGTGCTTCCCAATATGACATCGACTGATTACGTCTTGAAACGTTGTATGGCGATGAAGTGCTGCCAAACTAGCCGTAAGAAATAGCCATGCTACCACTCACTTATAGAGTTTAAATCTTCTGAGAGGTGGCCGTGGCGCTGTGGCGGTGCTGGAGGGGTTTGTTGAACCGAATGTCGTTATATGCTCGTGTTTTGGCTCCGTCTCGTGACATTTTTGCATGTTTATCCGTAATTTTAATGTGCTAACTTGCATTCACTTACTCGGTTTTGGCACTTTTCTCAAGCTATTCGATCACTAGTCTTATTTCCGTATTAACTAAGCACCATGTCCAACTTCTTGTATCACAAAACGTACTTCGTATTTGAATCAAGCGCAACCTGCAAAATATTGATTGAGAGCCAGTTGACGGCCATTGTGTCTGGTCAGCCTGCTCACGAGCGCCAAATATGAGCGACACAGCAATTATATTCTTCTTGGCCTAGAGTGTCACATGAACAATGATGTGGCAGGATCTGAATGGCGCTGCTATGGCGTCGTGCATTCTTGGGCGACCTTGAAATGGCCTGCACGAAATGGCCCGCACATCTTCGTGGGCGAGCAGCTCAGAAACTAGGGGGGCTTAGACCTTAAGAAGGGCAGGACTGTGAACTGCTCCCCTTACACGCAACAACACACTACCTTTAAAGCGAATATTCCACATTTGCATGGGGTTTTGAACCGAAATAGCCGTCGTGAAAATCATCAGGGGAAGTTCACATTTCCGTCCTTTTGAAGGCCTAAGACCTTCTAGTTTCTGAGCTACACGCCCGGGAGGATACACAGTCTATTTCGTGGGAGCCATTTCAAGGTCACCCAGGCATCCAAGACGCCATAATAACGTTATTCAAATCTTGCCATTCTATTGGCCTTGCGGCGATCATGGTCAAGATAATGTGATTGTCAAGTCGTTCATATCTACCGTTCGTGAGCACGATCTTCAGATATAACGGCCATCAGTTGGCTCTCGATCAATATTGTGTAAGGTAAGATGACGCAATCAAGCAATGACACATTGAGAAGCACATTTAATCAATACATCAACTATGCTGTCTATAGCAGTCATTTCCAATTGAAGGCACACCAATCGTTATAAGTAACCTTATTGCACCATTCCTACTGCTTGTTTCAATCTCCCCAAAATGGAACATGTCCTTTAAACGGCCAACGGACAAACTCGTAACGACTAAACGATGAAATGTGAGCTGTAAATAAGAGGCACGTCCGAATAGTAAACGACGAAATCGCGAGCCATCACACTATGATACGTGGCGCGTGACACGTACCCGAAAAGCCGGTGACAGCCCAACGCCAAAGATAAAGCTAGGTTAAACAGCACAGCAGGCTACGAAAGTACGCGGGGTCTCTCTACGATGCAGACAGCAGCCGGCAGCTTCCATACTTTTCCTGGCTATTCCTGGTGCGCCAATGTCTTGTTTTTAGTGACGGCTTTGTCTCGGGTCCTCGCAAATACGAGCACCGAGCGAAATATTCAGCACTTGTTTGTGCGATCGCTGATGCAAAAAGCCGATCAGTTCTGCACATGTTTGCACTCTGCAGAATGAAAATCTTTGATTAGTTTGCATGATGGCAGCAATGACGTACAATAAAACGAATTTGCGCTCAAATACCCCAGTATTACTCATTGGTGACGCACAAATGTTTTCACTTGGTCCTAGCTGATTCACGTCTGTCTTTGATCATTTATGACATTGCTGAGGAACGGACACTGAATGGGATAAGTGGTTACCATGCCGATGTGGAAGCCCGGGTAAAGACTCGCGTTGCGTGCTGACGCACTTCACGAAACCCAAATTCCTCAAGCAACGCTGGCCGTGGCGTATCTGGAAGCTTGGCTTGGCCTGTTACTTGGCCTATCAAACGCTACCTTTCCGAAAGATTTAGTCGGAACCTTTTGAATGGATGGATTTCTTGGATCAAAGCTCACGGTAAGCCGTGCTTGTTACGTGAGCCCTGACCGCTACCATCCAATCGCGCAATCGCAGGTGACGGCAGGTTAAATTGCAGATTTCAGCTGCGGATGTTATCAAAGATTCCTCGTCAGGCAAGTTGGAATTGCTTACCCATTTGCCCAGATTTGTGTGGACCTCTAGAAATCGTGGTACATGTGGCCTCTTCGGCTGCTGTCTGACACATCATCTGCAGTGTTCTCAAATCCCACCGATCGCTATGGCGACACGTTTCTCACAGTGTCGTCGTGTGACCTGGCGCCATGGGCCAAAGGACCGCCCATCATTCTCACACGTCCACCCTTCGCTTGCCTTCTTGAGGCCGCTTGCCGCTGAGCACTTGCAAGCACGCAGGCTTCCTATCTTATGGTGCCAGCTTATCTACGCTTTAACTTGTCTGGTATTCGGCTGCTTTCCAGACAGCAAGCCTGGCTCGCAATGAAATGAAAAGGACAGTCAATAAGTTGATGCCCTTCACTTTTCCAAAATATTACCACTTTGGTTTAAAACCCACTGTTATTCGACCACGCTGGCTCGCGGCAGACCAGCAACTGTTCAGCCTTCGCTTGTAGCTCATTAGTACATCACGAGCTTTCCATGTCACTCAATTACGACATGCCCTACGGGCGTTCATTTTATGAGTTCACGGAACAGAGCCATGTCGGACTACGCGTGCTCCTTGCCTTTTGCCTGTCCGACCATGGCATGAGTATGGATGAAATGTTGGCACGTGTAAGCGGCACCAGCGGTCCGACGTGACCTTGCCGACCGGGACCAAAACTTTGCTGACACGCTGCAGTGCTAGGAGCCAAACGACTGCTTATTGGGGCGCAGAGGGCGAGCGTATAGATACGAGAAAGGTTCTGTATGAATCAGCCATAGACGTCCAATGCACAGGTACGTTATGTTGCAAAATATGGATAGATACCCGCCTCCTCAATATACAGGGAGACACGGACTCAGCACACTTCGCATGGCATTGCCGTCGCAAAACTAAAGGGTGCCTGCAACAGACACTTGTGGTGGCCAGGAAACACTCCGTCGCACCTTACCGAAAGCCAGAGACGATGCACACCGGTCCTGGGCGCCTAGCAGAGCCCTGATCGTGGAGTTCCAGCTGCGAAGCCGGCCGGGAGCTGACCGCATTACTGCTGCATTCCAGTCATTGTTGGGCTTCTTTTGATCCCGGCAGCCAATTTCCAGGGATGATTGCTCCGGCTGACGGCGGTGGTCTATTCATGCTCGCCACGTTTGGCTTCGTTTGACACCGTTGGCATGGCTGATGCCGGATCTGAGGCGCCGGACACGCTGAGCGCGCTGGCGGCCCGACTGACTCCCGGCGTTTGCAGGACGCGGCCGTCCGCCGCCGACGCGGCTCCGCCGGGCGCCCGCCGAGCGCGGCGACAGGCAGCGGCGGGCCGCATGCCGGTGTCGGCGCGGGATGACGGCTCGAGCGCGGGCTCCCGGGAGTCCAGCCCGGCCGCCGCGCGCGCCGCCGCTCGCTCCGGCTCCACGTCTGGCTCCCGCGCCGGCTCCCGGCGCCGCCGCACCGCCAGAGGTCAGCGCTCCGGGGACGGGAGCCCGGCCAGACAGGGCTCCCGTGACGCATGAGCCTGATCATACGGGATGACGTTCTGCTGCGAGCCCCGTGGGAGGCGTGCCGTCTGGTGCCAAATCATGGACGGACTCACGAGACACTGAGACCAGATGAAGCACGTTCTTCGCACAACACGTGCTCTTCTGCTGAGTCTGTTCTCTGGTTCGCTGTACTTCCAATTTTGGCAGGATGCGAAGGAACCAGGAGGTAGTGTAACTTACAAGCTGCATTGAAATGGAAGACGCTGAATTATCATGTACGAAACCAAATGCATCTAGCTTCTTTTCAGCTTTGATCGAGGGTCTCCATCTCCACGAAGCCATCATACGTAGCGACCCGGCGGCCATCGAGACGATTCTGAAGGCTCGAGTGGACGTAAACGTAAAGTACAAGGTAGCTCAGGTCTCTTCTCCGTCGTTGCTTTACTGCGCTAAGATCAGCGAAATAGCCATCGGCGGTGATGACGCCAATACAGTCAGCGTCTTCCCCGTTCAAACTGGACGAGGACAACATCATCCAATCTAGGCGTCACTCGTTTATTTTCTTTGTTCTTGCTTCATGGCGAGAACAGCATTTGACGGTGCATGGTACATTGTGAATTTATTTGACAACTGGAAACAGTTATGTGACAAAGCTGACCAATCTCATCATTGCACCTAAAAACACTAGTGGCACGCTAACAACCGTGTAATTTAGTGCTTTACCCGCACCAGCCATCTCGACCCTGGACTCTGTTGCTGATCACCTGCCGCAGAATCTCACATCACGCCGTTCTAATGGTGTTGATGTCTAGACCGTTCATGTTGTCAAGGCCAAGCCTGGTGCCTCCATCCCTGTGTTCTCTTCGCAGGGCGTGACGCCTCTGATGCGGGCAGCCAAGAGGGGAGACATCGACGCTGTGCGTCTGTTGCTTTCAGCGAAAGCCGACATCGACGCTCAGAACAAGGTACTTGGGTGCAATCAGACGACAATTGTGGGACAGCGGAGCCCGCTGCCTAGGATAACTGTGAATGTTTGCTAGCACCGACAGTTCGTGAATAAGCGATGATGTATACTTGGTCGAGGGTGGAGTTATCTTTCAATGCGAACTGGATTATAAGAACCGTAAATGTATTTGACAAACGTGTCTTGCTGTACCATGCAAATACGAGGCATAAGACGTTCTGATGGATTCTCCCCTGCCTCCCCTAAATGTCACGTGATCATATGGTAAGCAACTACCCACATTTCAGCAATTTTGGTTCACGAAATGCACTTGTGACGTAATTATTGACATAGTCGCTACACAATGACTTACATGATTAATTTACTTGAATTGTGACACGCTATCATTTATCGCAATTGGAATGATCGAGTCTATCCGGCGTTTGCCGACATTACCATGGACACCCCTACCTCGGTGAAGGCGTGCTTATTTAGCTTAATGTGTAACTATCCATGGTAACTGCTCGGCTAATAAGTGATGAAGTCGTTTGTGTGGACGGAACGGCGTAACATGCGCTCGTGATGGGTCATTTTTCATGATGAGTGTTGATTTGCTGTTGACTCGTTGTTGTACTGTGTTGGCTTGCTAGGTGTGAAGCTGGTCGTAGGCATTCGAAAAGGCATTTGGCTACTCTGTTTTCACAAATTAAGCTGATTTCGAGATCAGCTGATCGTTTTACCCTGTCAGCTTGAGGAGTCTGCCGAAAAAATGGAACAGGAAACACCGCGCATTTTCGCAATTCATTTGCGCTCCATTTCATTGATGTGGCACATTGTAGTCCGGCAGATTATGCTGCAGATTAGGAATGCAATATTTAGGTCCAACGCTACTGCCAGTCAGCACTGAATCGGTACCAGCGGCACCTGAGTGATGAGTGGACTGAAAGTTGGATTCGGGCTGGAAGCGGTATCACCTGCTTATTTACGACACTGTTGTTGCTAAAGTATGCGTATCTCCTTTGAGTACGTCGGAGGCTGACAACAGTGCGACCACCAGCCAAACTTTGCCGAAGCTCTGCATCGATGCGCATGCCTGCCGGTGCTAATAGTGATGCCGGCACCAAGCCTGTCGAAATATTGGATCTCCAGTTCAAATAACAGACTGGCGTCGAGCTTGTCTGCATTAGTATGCAGCACCATGGCTTCGAGGCAGTTGTGTGTGTCACGTTCATGAAATGACATTCTTGGAGCGACTGCATGTCGCCGTGTAGGCCGTTTAACGCGGTTGCTGCCACGCGCACACAAACGCCATTGTGGTAGCACTATCGGCCGACAATGTAAATCGCTCCTCGGTGACTATGATGGGAGCAGTACTAGCCTGCGATGTAAATCACTAATCGTCCAACATTACGTGTTTTTGTTCAAATTGCCACTCCGAATCCCACCTAACGGACGGCTTCGTCGAAGCCAGTGCAGCACGTGCTCTTGTTGATGTGAATGAGACAAGTAGGACACCCTCATGAAGATTTAAATGGCTTTGGGATTGCCTCCTCTGCTAAATGCCAGTCAAGGGTAACTGGACTCTTTGACCTGTGTCCTGTTTTTCAAAATTCCATTATGGCACCACACCTGTAGCACGCGTTGTATTGTAGGACTACTACAAGATAATTTGGGGGATGTCATGAGGCAGTCCTATAAGCGTCTTTCGAAAATGACTTCCCAGCACGAGTGTCGATTTGTGTTCTTTTGTGAGGGCTCTGCCCCCCCCCCAAGGTTGAGTTGGGTCCACCCATGTTAGCTTGCTCCCCCCCCAAATGTTTTCGGCTAGAATACTCCAAAAAACGTGGGTAAAAGGGGATCATAACAGGGGAGTGCTACGAGACGCCACTCTCATAACAAAAAGTAATGGCTGCTCTTACCACAAGATCCAAATCGTAACGGCTGAGCGGATAAACGACGCAATAAACTTCACATACCCAGGGCTATAAGTCACACAATGGTTTGTGGGGTTAAAGTGAAAAGCTCTGGAATATGGCGATGACCTAAGTCCTTCATGGCTAACCCCGTCCCCGACCCCGGCAGCCAAAATGCGTGCCGCTTCCCAGGACCGAACGCCGTCGGTGCCCCAAGCCATTAGAAGAGCGCCATCGGCACCCTAAGGCGACTCCTAAAGGGGCGCCTTCACGTGCCGATCAGAAGAGACGCGTGCGTCTAGTACCTGCTCCCTGGATCCAATCCTGCATGGCTTCTACACTTCTTTAATTAAAGGCTTTTATAAATAATACAAAAAGCAATTCATAAAAGTAGCGTATTGTGTTAAACCAAAATAAAGTGGGCTAGATCCGGTGTGACAAAATGGGGCGGATGGGTAGGCTGTCGGGCCTTTGGTTGCCCCCCCCCAATAATTTACAAAACTGACACCCCTGCTCCCCGAAAATCAAGTCTCAAAGGGTGGCACGACCCCTTTGCATGGTTGACGCCGATTAAGGGACACCAGCTGACAAAAGATGCTTTCAATATGCGCTTTCTAGCAGCATTTTAAGACCCTGCAGAGTGTTGGGCTACTTGAAAACGCCCTGGAGAGTAATTTTGCTCAGTGAACGGTTACCGTAAGATCAGCTGGAGCCGTTCCTTAATTTTTCATGACCGTGACTAATGGCTACCGATGACCTTCCACTTGCAATTGAGACTATCCCAGACAACATCGACCAGCCGGACCTACAGCCCGCAGTGCAAAAGACCTTTATCAGTCCGAACCATCACTCTCAGAGTGACACTTCCTCTTTGTAACGCGGTAGACCTAGGTCAATCCAGGCCACCACGCAGATTGATTGCTCACCGAACCGCTGCACTTCTGCAGCGCTGTCCGGCTGCCGGCAAGTGTATCGCACTGTATCTGCTGGCCTCAGCTTGCTTCTGCGTTTCTGCAGAAGCAGGAGCGCGCCATCCATCTCGCTGCGATGGCGGGCCACCTGGAGGTGCTGAAGGCGCTCATCCACAGCGGCGCTGACCTCACCGTGCTCAACAAGGTACCGTCCATTGTGGCCAGCGCCTCCTGCCGACCGGCAGACCGCCATCAGTGTGGCACGGGTCGCCATGAGGCCACATGAGGAATCGGGTCACAAGGGAACCGGAAGCGACCAGAAGGCGATGAACTGGCAACGATATTTTTCGGTTGTGATGCTAAATTGGCCCATGCATGCCTTACCGAGGCCATTTGCGTCATTTTTCTCCGCTAAACCGTATATGTGGTCGTCTCAGGAACCTTCAATGAGGCCTAAGAGCATTCCAAGGATTTTCAGTGCTTTAGACCGCTGGTGGTATATGTTCATGACGTTTTGACGTAGTTATAGTTGGGTTTAAATGCAAACGCAAATTTCTTAACTATTTGCTCGGGGGTAGTCATAACTGAGGTAATCACGAATTTCAGATCCGTTTTGCGGCAGGTGGTCGCCCTTTAAGGTCAAAATGAAAATCAGAGGACGGGAAGCTTCATATCCCACAAAAGTACCAGTGAAATAGGACAAAGTCCGTTTCAAAACATCAAAAGAACCAAACGCTACGGTGAACTTCAAGCCTTTGTCCTGGTAGACGTTGAACTTCAAGCTCAGGCGACAGAAAGCGTCAGGACGTTTACACCTATCTGCGCAAGTGAACAAAACGGGCTGCAAAAGACACCCATGTCAAACTTCAGGGTTAGCAAAGTTTTCCGTAAAAAGCGTTTCTGATCTGTAAGGCCGAGCTCAAGGTGAAACTTACGGGACATCAGAACGCTAGAACCCATCGGTATTTGGCGCTCAAAACAATGCCACCAGATAGCCAGTGTAGGCGTATATGGAGAGTAAAGTTTTCGTAGTGATAGGGGTTAACATTCATGGTGTAATCCAAACTCAAAGAGGGAAAGGTGCAAAAGGTAGGACATGTATAAGATGTAAAAAGTTACATGTATTTCTCTCCGAAAATAATCTCACCCATCAGATGGTGCATTAAAAGGGCCTTTGCTGCCGACCGATGCTGTTGGCCTAAGCGCCGGTGTAGCACCGCAAGCTTGAGTGGTCTAGTGTTCCCTCTCTGAGGACTTAAATTTGACATTCAAGCTCAACGGCCTTCAAGTTCGGATTTGCAGCAAAAGTTTCGATGCAAAGCTGTCTTTTGAGACTGTTTTTAGCGACGAATAAAACCAATGTTTGTGTTCGACCGATTTCCAATATTGATGTGACAGTAGTATTAGCCTTATAACTCGGAGAAAAAAAACATCAAATTGTCTTTTGTTTAGATTTTTTATTTCGATTACTTTGCTTTTACTTTGCAAACTGATTTTTTTTAGATTTCTAGACATCGGTAAGAACTCTCCGGAACCTTCTAGTAATAACGTAAAAGTCAGCCTACAAAAATGACGAAGGACGACGTACCGCGCACGTTCAAAAAACATCAAGGAGACAAACTGTATGTCAGTGCAGATCGGCGGAACTTTATCAGGGACCTTAGCAAAAAAAGATGATAGCATAGATAAACAGAGCGATAAGTGTAAGAGTTTTGTAATATTAGGCGGGCTAACTTATGTTAACGAGGCTAAGGCCATACCTAACAACAGCGACAGCTATGAAAAAATGAATAGGAAGCCAGTCCCTATGGTAGAGGCTAAAACAAAAAGAACACTAAACAGCACAGCTAGTGAAAAACTTTCGGACAAAACCCTCAAATATTTGACACCTGGACACAGTAGATCACCTGTATTCCATGGGCTTCCCAAAAATCACAAACCTGTGGTGCCCCTTAGACCTGTCATATCTGCGCCTGGTGGTCCTCCAGGAAAAAAACTTTGTGCCTTTTAGAGAAAATACTTAACCAACTCTAATTATTTGTTCCCACTCACCTGCGGAACACCATCAACTTTTTTAAAAAGTCTTCTAATCATTCGCAGGGTTACATTCGCATTCGCAGAAGGGCTACCAGAAGGCAGCATGCTCTTCAGTGTAGATGCTGTCAATTTATATGGCAATATACCAGCCACTGAGGCTATCGTTGCCGTGAAAGCTAAGTTAGACGAACATTACGTGAAATTGATGCCTTCGTCTCTCAAAGAGGATAGCTGCGGTCTTTTAGAACAGTGTATCCAGGATAATTTTTTCTCGTTCTGAAATGACTTCTACCGACAAAAATTGTGAAAAGCAAGGGGGAACCCATGAGCTCCTCCTCTGGTGATAATATTTTTAGACCAATTTGAAACGAAGGCCCCGGCCGCCGGCCATTAAAACCAACTGTCTTAGCTAGATACATCGATGATTATGTTGGGATATGGACGCACGGACAGCGTGCCCTTGAAGAGTTTTTAGAGTTCATGAACAACCAACGTCCAAATCTAGCTTTTACGATGGAGCATGCAGGATTCGCAAAGGAGGTTCCATATTTGGATACGCCAATGACGGTGGAAAGGAGGAACAACCGCACAACGTCAGAAACGGAGCTCTTTATCGATCCCACCAACTCTGACATCAATTTGCACTGTGAATCTGCTCATCCAACTTCCACTAAGCACAACATAATTCGCAACATGTTCCATAGGGCTCTTGGGGGGGGGGGGGGGGTAGGGCATAGTGAAAGGGAAGAAAGAGCATAAACAAAATATGGGCTTTGTTGTTGGGCGGCGGGTATTCTCCGCAACTTTGAGGTAGCAGGTTGGAAGGAGTAAAAAAGTCTAGAGTGCGTGGGGGAATGGGTGGTATGAGGTGGGAACACGTCCTTCCGAAAGAGTTTCTTAACGCAACCTTACATAGATGAAAATTTTCTTTGTAAAACAAACACATTGTTAATAAAAAAATCAAAATTAGGCGTACGCATAACTTGGAAAAATGATAATAAGCTTAAAAAGTGTCCGGTAAAATCTTTCATCTCGAACCCTAAGTGCCCGGGTGGCAACAGATATCATTTATGTGGTTCTGGGTTTCAAGGGACTTTTCAAGGTTCTGGGTTTCAAGGGACAAGGGACGCAAAAAGGTTTACGAAATCAAGCGTGAACTGTGTAAAAAAGCATGGGAGGGACATAGCCTATGTCGGGGAGTCCATGCGCCCTATGCGTTTGCGATGTAATGAACAACTGCGAGGCACTAAAAACAAAACAGGAAATACTCTTTTTGGTGACCTTTTTTGGCACAACACGCTCAGGCTAAAATCTCTCCTCTTTTAGAGCTTAAAGTCATCTACATAGCCGACTATTCCTATAAAAAGTCTGGGACCAAATCTTAACACCTAGGGATCACGATGGCCGATTATGCGAGCGTGATGTGTGCCTTCACGTGTGATGTGTGCTAGCTTGCAATCGTTTACATGTGTAAGTGATACCTGAGGCGTGATGTGCGGTGCCTGTTCAATTGAAATCGTTTGCATGCATAATTGATGCGCGATGTGTGATGCCTGCTTACTTCAACTCGCTTGCACGTTTGAATGAAGCGTGAAGCGCGATGCCTATTTGCTTGCATTCTTGTGCATGTTCATGTATGTTCACGCATTCTAATTCTTAGGTAGGCACTGTGTCGTGGTAATGGCGGGCAATTGCTCTTTGTTCCCCTGAATCCCCTGAATGTTGGTGTCCTGTAAAAAGGCTGTGGCTTGAAAAACACCCTGCAAAAATCGAGTAGGATCATCGGCACGCAATTTTGAATTCACTTCTGCTATTGTTTCGATAAAGGCATGTTGCCGAAATATAAACCTAACTATACCTCCATTTTTCTGGTTTTTCTTCGAGGAATAAGGCTAATACTACTGTCTTATCTATGTGAATAATGTTCCTCGCTAATGCACTGGACAACTTACGTAATTTCCAACATTCTACACCATAGCCACTTTTCCTTGAATTAGTATCATAATGAAAACTTTGCTCAAATTAGACATCGATTCTGGGTATGAAATGAAATGAAATCATAAGCATTATTTTTGTGTCGTTATTTGACGCTTTGACGTCTGATCATCACTTGTGTGTAGAGATGCCGTGCTACCTTTAGTCATGAGGAATCCGTTACAGACGGGGTCCGTCGACGTGGCCCAACCACGGACAAGCAGTCAAATGAAAGCGATCCAATTTGAATGCGCGGATTTCAACCGTCCCCACCTGCGTGACGTCACCATGGACCTGGCCGTGGCGGTGCAGCAGTCCCCGCCTGGCCATGGACGGCGCCGTTTCTCCACGCCATAAGATTTCAACCTCTTAGCTAAGGCGGAGGCTCCGTGTGGAACTGGTGGAATATTAATGGATATCCGACTGCACAGTGCTGCCCTCTGAATATTTCAATGATTGAAGACGAGCGGGTGCTGCAATCTCGAATGTTCAGACAGCTGAGGCCGCTGCACCATGCCGTGCGCGGGTGCTGGCGGGCGTTGGGCGCAGGCCGGCTACAGGTCTGGTGCCGCTCGCGGGGAGCGCCGCCGCTCAATGGCGCCAGTTAATTCTGACGAAACCGGAGCTTCGGTTTCGGCGCTCTCGAGCCCCAGACCTCCGAAGAATGCACCCGGGAACGAAATGTTTCCTCCGTTTCTCGTCAGGCACACTCACACAAATGTCAGTGACTGCCCTGGACGTCGCTGGTCTGCCGGGGACGTTAATGCGCTATGCATACTCCGCGCCCCAGGGCTTCGATATTTTACAGTGATCGATGGCTCCAAGGCGCTTAGCAGGTTCGCTTAAGATATTCCATGCTGGCGAACTGAAAACAATATGCGATACCCGTGGGATCACATAAACTCAATCTCTTGATATGATTCCATGTCACCCTTGGCATGGTGACCTTGGAATTGCCGGTTGCGACAATTATCCACCGCGCTTAAACGCGTGCTCCACTGGGGGTCACGCATCATGCTTAAACACACGTCCCATCGACAACCGCACGCCGTGCTTAAGCGTACCTATCACTGCGAGCCGCGCCTTCACCGCATGTACTCATCAGCCCATGACCCGGTAGCAGTAGTAGCCATACCGTGACGCGTGCCCAGCAGCGCGGCCAGAACTTCCTGTTCGCCGCCGTGCTGGCCGGCCGGCCGGCCGTCATCCGGTTCGTGCTGGAGCACCTGGAGCACTACGACCTGCACGCGCTGGACGGTCAGGGCCGCTCGCTGCTGCACGCGGCCGCTCAGCGGGGCCACAAAGAACCCGCCCAGCTGCTGGTGCAGGCCGGCTGCGACGTCACCGCCACGGACGCGGTCAGTGTGTGATGTCGCCGCCACGGACGCGGTCAGTATGTGACGTCACCGCCACGGACGCGGTCAGTGTGTGATGCCATCTCTACGGATACGATCAGTGTGTGACGCCGCAGTGCGGGTGTGGCGGCCACACCCACGGACGCGGTCAGTGTGGCGTCACATACTGACCACGATTGACACGGTCAGTATGTGACGCCACCGCGACGAACGCGACCAATGTATGACGTCACCGCCACGGACGCGGTCAGTGTGTGACGTCACAGCTATGGACGCACCCAGCATGTGACGTCACCGCCACGAAATCGGGCTGCCTAAAGTGGAGTAACTGCCACGTCAGCTAGTGATGTCACGCCAGACATCTGGCCGTTCCGGAGAAAACCCAACGCGCACGTCAATCAAGTTATACTGGCTTGGAAATATTTGAAAACGGACCTTAAACGTGTCTGCAAAGTAATTTCCTGGCCAGTTTGACTGTCCTCGCCGCTGTTGCACGTCATTTAGATCAGGATCAAACGTACGGTCAAATCACGCCATTCTGAGCAAACATTATTTAGGCGCGGTCGATGCTGTATCGAACGACGTGTTAATCGTACTTTCCGTGTGTCCAGGAAGTGGAGTTTATCCCGTCTGACGGCATGGTCCTGTGTTCGGCAGCTGGGTCGCACCCCGCTGCACGCCGCCTGCGCCGAGGGCCACGCCGAGGTGTGTGCCCTGCTGCTGCGCCAAGAGGGCGTGCGGCCGGACCAGGCCGACCTGACAGGCTGCTGCCCCCTCCACCTGGCCGTGCTGGCTCAGGCGCGCCCACTGGTCGACCTGCTGCTGGCCACCGGCGCGCCGCTGGACGCCGCCAACCGGGTACGCGTCACGCGTGCGAGGCCGGTACAGTGTCATCGCACGGCGCGATGCGTGCCGGGCCGGTACAGTGTCATCGCACAGCGCGATGCGTGCCGGGCCGGTACAGTGTCATCGCACAGCGCGATGCGTGCCGGGCCGGTACAGTGTCATCGCACAGCGCGATGCGTGCCGGGCCGGTACGGTGTCATCGCACAGCGCGAACAAGTAGTGACCATGCGCCGTCGACTGGGCCGGATATACTGCCGAGAGCAGCCAGGTTTGATCGGGCTGCTCGGCGTCAGGCGCGGCCGTCGCAGGGGGACAGCGCGTCACACGTCACACGTCACACGTCAGCGCGTCACACGAACGCGGCTGACTGACGCTGTGTGTGGGGGACCACGTTGACCTGGCCTGCCGGTGCTGACAGGATGGGGAGACGCCGCTGCACCTGGCGGCGAGGGCCGGCAACGCCGAGCTGGTTGGCGTCCTTCTGGCGGCCGGCTGTGACGTCAGCGCCACCTCAAAGGTGGGACGGGGAGGGGGACGTCGTGGGGCTCACCATGAGCTCTCCGGAACATCCGTATCATTGGCAAATACCCACATACTGTGTGCGTTCGCTCAAGATGAGCTCCGAGGTTGGAGGTAGCTCAGCTATGTGACGTCCTAAAAAACGACAGTATACGCTAGCTGTTGGCAATTTGACGCATCGCTGCCTTGCGTTGACGACTTCGTTTGGTCCTCCCCAGATGGGTAACACTGCATTACATCTGGCAGCTTCTGGAGAATCACTGGCAATTTCACGAACCCTGCTCAGCAAAGGTCTCGATGTCACGAATCAAAACAAGGTACGTTGCAATCCAGGAAAAATTGTGGCAGGCTCAGCTTACCAACAGGATGAAGCATGTAAAGAATGCCGACTGAAATGCCTTCGAACAAGGGCGAAAGTGCACTTGCCCTGAACGTGTATGCGAAAGCGACTGGCTTTTGTACAGCGTAGCATAAATCTGGGCGTGTGAAATATCGCATCAGTCGATCGCAGGACGTAACCGAGGGTGTCATGACGAAGGAGGACATGGCTGCGTTCCCTGGACCAGTAGGTTTACACTAGACTCGGGGCGATTTCGCGGGCATTTGGTCCAATCCGCAGGAGCTCGGCGAAACTTTGAGATCCCCTTTTGCTGAGGGTTTTGGCTACGTACAACGTACATGCCTCATCGAGCATGTACGTTACCCGACTCACTGTTAACATATTCAATCCGAACATTTTGAACGGAAGGGTGTCTCAGACCAGGGCTCACGCTAAGCAGTGCGTGTCCTGACCCATCGTATCCGATTATCCAATTCCAGATCAACGACAGAATGAGGTGGCGGAAGTCTAACGTGCCGCAATACTCCGCACGGCCTTCTGATGTTAGCTGACCTTTAGCGCGGCCGCTGTCACCGCCCGCAGGCCCTACCCGTCAAAGACAAACAGCGATGGCTTTAACGACTTGAACTCCCCCCGCCACGAGTGAATGGATCGGAAGACACGCCCTCTAACCAACTGAGCCATCAGAACGGACTGAAGATCCCACCCCGCCACGAGTGAATGGATCGGAAGACACGCCCTCTATCCAACTAAGCCATCAGAACGGACTGAAGATCCCACCCCGCCACGAGTGAATGGATCGGAAGACACGCCCTCTAACCAACTGAGCCATCAGAACGGACTGAAGATCCCACCCCGCCACGAGTGAATGGATCGGAAGACACGCCCTCTATCCAACTGAGCCATCAGAACGGACTGAAGATCCCACCCCGCCACGAGTGAATGGATCGGAAGACACGCCCTCTATCCAACTGAGCCATCGGAAGACACGCCCTCTATCCAACTGAGCCATCGGAAGACACGCCCTCTATCCAACTGAGCCATCGGAAGACACGCCCTCTATCCAACTGAGCCATCAGAACGGACTGAAGATCCGAAATTTTTTCCTGAATTAGAGAGGATCAACTGGCTACGATTAGCTACACCCACAATCAGCAAACAAACAACGGCCGGTCGGGATAGTTTCACAACTGTTTTCGTTGACAGATCAGCGAAAGGATCCCTACCTCATTTTATCCTCAGGCCTAGCGGGGTTAGGATGATACACACAGCGTCCGCACGGTCCCGCACCTTGCAGAGCGCAATGTGCATGCGTGACACTTGCTAAACATCACCCGAATGGGCGAAGGGACTGCCAAACACATATGTGGTGTGTTCTGGTTCCAGAGGGGAGAGACAGCTCTGCACCTGGCGGCGGATGCTGGCAATGAGGAGCTGTGTCGGGTGCTGATGGAACACGGCGCCTCGCTGGATACCAAGGAACAGGTCACTAATGAATAACCACCGCGCACCATTAATCTCAAGAACTGAGCCAGGCTGGGCTGAAGTTCCTGAAAGCCGGCTCTGCCCGGAATGGCCGTGTTCTCTGTGATGGCAAGACGTATAAGTCAGCGTGGGTCACTGGAAACGCCGCGTGCGAACAGACGAGGCCTTCCAGAGTAAAGCTTCTCATAGACGCCGTCGAATTCGTTGCGCCAACTATCACTCCGCACTCGTGCCCACACATTTTGGCCCCACAGCACCCGTGTGCATGCCACTCTAAATATATACGTATATTAATTCGCAACGCATTTCACACTTGATGCGCTGCGTCCAACGTGTGATATATACACACACACACACACACACACACACACACACACACACACACACACACACACACACACACACACACACACACACACACACACACACACACACACACACACACACACACACACACACACACACACACACACACACACACACACACACACACACACACACACACACACACACACACACACACACACACACACACACACACACACACACACACACACACACACACACACACACACACACACACACACACACACACACACACACACACACACACACACACACACACACACACACACACATATATATATATATATATATATATATATATATATATATATATATATATATATATATATATATATATATATATATATATGATGTCAACATGAGAAACGAGTCAAACTGTGGTCTCAGGACAGGACAGACTAGCGTTGAGTGCCTAGCCCGGTGTGTGGTACGACTCATTGAGTTTGACCGATTTGGCCCACCTGATGCTAATGAATGGAGGATCTTGATAAGGCATGCAACGATGTTGGTTTCATGCGTCAGGTCCTTTGTCAATCGATGGCGTAACATTTGCGTGACCTCGCCGTGTCGGTAGGCGAGTTTCTGGTGTATTTGGGACTGGCAGGCGTCCTTGTGGCGACATCGTGCCTCGCCAGCCTTGCTCCAGCCGTGGTGTCGGTTACAGGGTGGCCGAACGCCGCTGTATATCGCGGCCAGGGGTGGCTTCGACACCCTGGTGGACATCATGATCTGCCACTCACGCGCCAAGAAGGGTCAAAACGGCATCGTGAGTTCGTGGCGCCGCTGGGGGCGTCCGATACACTCGTTCAGTTGGATGGGGCTCAGAACTTGTGGTTTGGTTTGGTTGCTTTAAGAGAGATATGCAACATCGCAGCCGCCAAGCGTAGCCTGCTGTTCAGTCTCCCACGCCCGACTCCAGCATGGTGTCGTCGGGCGCAGGCTGTCCGCGGCGCCGGCCGCACGCTGCGACCGTTCACAGGCTCCTCACCAGCATAACTGCCCGACTCGTCTGTCGCTGGCGGCGTTCGTAAGTTTGTACATAAACTCTGGTAGGCGGACTTTAAAAAGGGGTCTAGTACCTTGCTTTCAACAGGGTATGCTCTATTCAGTGGCTTGTGCTCGTGAGTCGCTTGTAGCCCACCTCGAAGGCGCCGTGAACAATGGAAAGGGAGGTGATTGTGGCTCCCTGCACATGGCTGCCGATACCACTAAGGACATCATACGCGATATCCCATCTCATTTGTCTTGTCTATGGTCACTGGGTCATGTTTGGTAGTCCTCTCGAATCCCACTGTAGCTGCGTGCGTTGCCAGTAAAGTTGCATGACGGTCTCACGCCACATGATACTGTTTTTACCTTATGTTATTATCGATTAGTGGTCACGTCTCAGCGACAACAGCTCAGGCCCTCAACATATGTGCTTCATTTCAGTCATCAACAACATTTCTGGACGATGAGACACATCTGAAGCTGCTCTTGCTGCCGCCAATCATACGCGTTACATGGCTAAACAACAACCAATCAGAACGCGTCGAAGAGCTGATACGGGCAGTCGCCAATCGGTTTCTGCCGCGGGGCAAGTGGAAGGCTCTAGCCAGACACTGGAACTTCACTGAAGACCAGATAGAGGCCATCGAACACCAGTTCACTGGTGAGACCTTCGTGTAGCCTTCAATGAAGCAGGAGAAGGCTGGCTGTTCACGCCGTCAAATTGAAGGCGATGGTAATTATACAGCAGAATTATACGTTGCTTCATGATTATACAACTAAGTATCACGACCAACCAGATCCACAGTCATACCGAAAAACTAGCGCATATGGAGATCTGGCAGAGGTAAAGATCTGTGCATGATTAGCACTTGGTCAGGCTAAATACGAATACAAGCTTAGTATAAACCGAAAAGGCATTGAGCTCCTGATGTTTGTGCATCATGAGTTCAGAGTTCTTACGTTGACAGTTGCCGTACTTCATGAAATAATGAGTTTATTGATGTTAAGTATAACGAATATCTTAAGGTTTATATATATCCTCTCTTCTCTCTCTCTCTCTCTCTCTCTCTCTCTCTCTCTCTCTCTCTCTCTCTCTCTCTCTCTTCTTATATATCAAGAGATGATGCTTAGGTGACGGTATAAAGCAAATATTGCTCATGCTATCCATGCTCCACGTTTAAAGCTGTAGTTATAATCATCTGTCAATGACGTGTCAATCGCACTCATGATTATAATGAACAAAGGAGATAAGTGAGGGCTTTGGCCCTGTCTGCCCCTACCTGCTCCTTCGGCCCCTGTGTGCCCCTGCCTGCTCCTTCGGGCCTGCCTGCCGCTTCGACCCGTGTTCGCCCCTGCTTGTCCCTTCGGCCCCTGTCTGCCCCTTCGGCCGCCTGTCTGCCGGAGGTCGGACGCTCAGCTCTCAGACGCTGGTCTGCGCCCGTCGCAGGGCCGGACAGCTACAAGAGCCACGGCTACCGGCTGCTGCGTCTCTGGCACCGCACGCTCGGCCACGAGGCCGACCCGATCGGTCTGCTGCACAGCGGCCTGGCCAGCGTCGGCGCTGAACCGAGCGTCAGTGAGTACCGGCGAAAGAGCATGGGGCGGCTGGAGGGGCTGGGGCGGCTGGAGGGGCTAGGGTGGCTGGAGGAGCTCGGGTGCCTGGAGGGGATGAGGCGGTTGCAGGGCATGGGGTGCCTGGACGGATTGGGGAGCTCGAGAGACTAGAGAGGGATGGCTGTGGGAGGGGGCTGGAGGGGCGAGAGTGGATGTGGTGGCCAGGAGCTAGAGAGCAGTGGCTGTGGGAGGGGGAACGCTGGAGAGGCTGAGGATAACTGGTAGAGGCGGACTGAAAGGGTGGAGGACGGATGACTGAACGGGCCGGACGGTTGGAAAGGCTACGGCGCCTGCAGAGACTAGAGCGGCTGGAGAGAACGGGACGGTTGGAGAGACCGGGTCGGCTGGAGAGACCGGGTCGGCTGGAGAGACCGGGTCGTCTAGAGAGACAGGGGCGGCTGGAGAGAACGGGACGGCTGGAGAGACCGGGGCGTCTAGAGAGACAGAGGCGACTGGGGAGACAAAGGCGGCTGGAAGAGACCGGGTCGGCTGGAGAGACCGGGCGGCTGGACAGGCTGGTTGGCAACTTCCAATCCCCATAATCAGACTAGAACAGAAAATATGTGCTTTACAGCCTGGTCGTAACGGTGCTGCTGCTGTTGAATATTGCCTGGTAGCGTGCAGACTATCGCACTCTTGGGAAATCTAAGACGATGCTATTCCTTGTTATGTTTTTGAACAAAAATCCCCGAATACGCCGTGTTAAGCTACTTGCAATTAATTCTAGCTGGTTGGCATTCAGTGAACAAATAAAAAAGGTGACTACCCCAGAACGTCTGGTCGCGAGTTAAACTTAGCTCCCTTGTATCACAAGCAGAATTTGCACGATCCATTCCAATCTGGTTCATCGCTCTAAGACCTGAACCACCCGGCATTTGTCAATTTTAAGCTTTTGAATGGCACGGCGTAGCAACGTCAAACTTTGAGTGGCTGTGGACAACGGAACAGCTAATCTTGTGCTGCAAAGATGTGATACAGGTCGCTGAATGTAGCAGGTCGAGTACAGGCTGTTGTTGTGAGCAAACGCACTTCGTTGGGGCTTTTTCAAGCTGATGCGACAGCGGAGCTTCAGATGACGCTCTTCATTTACGATGCAGTTACACGATTGAACCAAGGACGATAATTAATTTTGTTTGCCTTGGGTCCTCAGATGAAGGACAATAAGGCCAATCAGGAATTTCTCGATCACGAACATCCTAATATATTTCCTTTGTTGACTTAATAAAGGCCAATAGGGTCGCTAACTTAGTATGATTCCAGGCAACCTTTTGCTTTAAAGAACTTGGTGTCTTTGGTAGTCCTTCAGGCATACATGTAATTGTTACATCAAAGTAATCTCGTAGTGGCTGGCGTGACCATCTTCTTAGGAGAAGTATTAAAGCCAAAACTGCCTTCTTGGGGAGTTTTGGAGCCCATCGGACACTGTTCTTGTTCGACCTTATCTGTTTATTTGTTTATTTTCTTTTACCGTCAACAGAGCGGCACTGGACTAGCGGATGGAGTCGCTGAAATAAAATACAAGAAATACACAGCACACAATAGTATTAACATAATTGAAGGATAGCATCTCAAAGCTAGGTGAAGAAGCTACAGAGTTAGAACTTTAGGAGAGTTTACTTTCTGCTCTTGCTGTTCTGCTTAAAAGTAAAGGGTTATTTTACCCAAATGTCACGCCTTAAAATAATGCACAAAGTTCACAAAGCATCCTACTTACCTTCATATTTGATGTCTCGAGCCCTCTTAATTTGTTATATCTCACCGAGTCAATGAACTCCCGCGCGAGCGCGTCGTGTTCAAATGGCGAGTGTTAACGCTAACAGGAGAGAAACTTATCTTTCGCTTACCTGTATGAGTGCATGCATTTTAGATAAGATAAGCCAAAAGCCAGCGATAATGAGCACATTGCGATCTGATATAGTCACTTGGGTCCTCATGCAAATCCACTGCGGCAGGTCTTTGAAAGTTCTCACAAAGTCCAATGCTTGTATCCTGTATAAGTGGTTTCCCCTTATCCAGTTCAGTTTCAGTCAGGTTGTAGTCCCTCAGCCAAACCCGGCGTAATGCGCCACGCACACATTTCCGTTACCCCACTCAAGGCACCACCAAGTCCACCAACCCCACCGAACTACCCAATGTCTTAGTGCTCTTCTCGCAATGAAGTACTGGAATGAACCATACACACGTATGAGGCATGCCCTCCACGTACGCGCAATTAGGCAGTTCGCCACCATTTCGTTCCAGACTTGTCAGAGCTGTCTGCAAACGAGGAAGAGATGCAGAGATTTGCATCGCTACGAGCAACCAGCAAACGACCAAGTCTTCACTGTCCCGATCATTGCTTGTGCGTCATTTTGTGAATGCTGCTATTTTTGCCAGGTGTTGCAATGCTCCATCATGCAGTTTTTAACCTGTGCATGGCTTTTTGCCTAGGTGTCGTAGATTTTCTATCATCAATATACGTATTGTAATAAGTCGATTACTCCGTGTTTTATGAAAGCTGATGTGAATCTCGCCCAATCTGTTTGCCACTATTGTCCGAGTTCATTCTTGCTTCGGCAATAATTAATGTCATTTTTGAGCAGATGCACCACAAAAACGTTACCCACGAATTTCTATGCATAGATGGTGTCAGATGCAGGTAATGGAATTCATGCCTCTGTACCAGCCAGCATAATGAGTTCGAGAAAGGCTTGTCAACAGCTGTACGGATATGTTGGATGAGTTCGCGTGCAGAAAAGCGTGCAGGCAGTCTGTAAAGCGCGCGAAGCTCTTCCCTGGTAACATTCATTTCTGACGATGCTCTTCAACTGATGGTTTCCTGACTTTTCCATCGACACACCATGCAGCAGAGCCGTTTTCTGCACTGAGCCAACTTTTATGCCTAAGTTGCCGGGCACTTTGGCAAAACATACGCGACAAAGTACCTGCTAAGCTAGGCGCTACAACGGCTCAGCGCCTGCGCAGGCCGAGTGCACGCGAGTTCAGCGGCCCGCTTCGTGCGGCGGTCGGCCGGCGGCGGCCCGCCCGGACACCTGGACGGCCCGCGCCTGTCAGAAGGCTGAGCAATGACCCAGTGTCAGACCAACTGGATGGGCCGGCAGCAAAGGCTGGTGGGCTTGTTGTTACAGCCTTTGTATGCTGAGGGATTCCCAAAGCGTGGGCGAGGGTTTGAGATCCTGAACTGGGCGTGAAATAGAGTGATAATGCGGCCACCACACCGTTCCGATTTCACAGAAACGGCAACGCAACGTGTCATAATGCACTGGCTAGTAAAATATATTCGGGGTCCATTCACATCGTACACTGGTCAATCATCCCGTGAAATATAACGAAAAATTCGTCAGCGTCTATGTGATAGACAGTTGTTCAACAATGGCACAAGACGAACGTGCCACCATATAACCGCGATTCATTTATAAAGAATCTAACTAGCAGCCGTCTACAGCACTGGACACGTTTAATGATACGGATACATCACTCCAGCTTTTCAAGACGGTGGACAGCCGTGGTTTGACAATTGCCATCTGAAACACAGACAGCATGGCTGCTCCAGTGCTCCCTGGCCGTGCGATTTTAGCTCAACATCGCGATCAAACTCGGCCACAACAGTTCTTAATTTGAATGCGGCCAAGCGCAGCGAGGATCTAACATAAGCACTTGTCAGCAGCATTACTCGAAGGCAATGCGCTTGAGTAACATATGATTTCCGTAGTTGGCCAATGCATACTCTGAACACAGTATCGCCTTCCAGTTTACCATACAGCCTAACGTCACAACGACGAGCTCTGATATGCAGAAAATGCACACAATGCTGCCTGCCAAAGCGGCAGGTATTGCGTCAGCTATCACCAAGTGTAACACTATGTCACATCCTCACACGGGGAGGCATCCGTCTGGAACGTCTGAGACTGCTTGCCGTACAACACGCCTGCCGCTCGGCGGGGGAGGCCGGCCGTCACCCCCCTGCCAGCCCCGACGGCACCGGTGGGCACTGCTCCCGGCTCATGCCCTCCCACGGGCCAACTAGTGAGGCCGCCGTCCTGGGCCGGCCGCTGCGCCATCACTGCAGCCGGTGCTGCCGCCTCTCCAGCACAGCAGCGGCCGCTCGAGCCATCTACTGACTGGCCATCAGCCCGCTAGGTGGCTCCCGGGTCGCCGTGGTGGCGCAGATCGGTAGATGGCACTGCCTACGACTCCCGGTTGCGGCGGACCATCTCTTTGACTTGTTCGTACGTGAGCCACATGCAGATGTTCCAGCTTACCTAGGCGACAGAACGATGGTGCAAACCTGCGGACGACGCGCCGGCGGTCAGCCACGGAAATAACGGCACTCGACTGAGAGGTCCCGTGCAGTCCCTCTTAACATGACGGACGTATGAGCTGGCGAAGGCCAAGGTGATACATTCTCAAACGTTATAGCATTGGCTTTTATAACATGACTGACGTGTGAGCTGGCGAAGGCCAGGGTGATACAATATCAAACGTTATAGCATTGGCTTTTATAATTTTGGTTTATAGAAGACATTCGAAAATGCATGTGTTCACGAAAAACAAAATCAAGGAACATATTTTGAGCGTTTCAAGCACGGTGGATGACATTCCTGCAAACTATAGCCATAGCTCGATTGAGTTCATTGTCACATTGTTAATTAACTGTTTTAGTTAAACTGTGGACAAGCGATTGGGAAACAGCTCTAATTTACCTAAACTATGGGATGCATATGACTTTAATGTGGGAAAACGAACACACCCAGCACACCTGACAATCCATTGCACAGCAGCAAAAACATTGAGCTAAAACTTTCATGTAAGCAATAGAAATATCTGCAGCCGTTAACTAACCCTTTGTAGAAGGCTCCAGGCCCCTCCTGCATGAACATCCTGACTGCCGCGTCCACGGCGCCGCGGTACTCCCCTGGCGCCGCGTTCATGTACCGAGTCTTAATAACGTCGACGGGAGATGCCACCACAGTCGCGCAGAGGCCTGGATAAAGACAGTCCGATCAGTGGACACTCACTTTGGACATGAACACTAAGATCAACCGGCATCATTTCCCTCAATTAGTTCAAACCATTCATGGTGGATCTTCAGCGGGGTTACGGTGGGGGAAGGGGGAGGGGAGGCAAACTCTGGGCCGTTTCTTTCCATACAACGGCGTAAGGTCAACGCTATTGCTGTGGTTCGCCTGGTTCACCTGGTTCACCTGGTTCGCAGGGCTTCCCGCGCTGCCCCATCCTCCTCCATTCGTCACCCCCCCCCCCCTTCTTTGCAGCTTAGACTCCCAGTGAAGATGCTGATGATTGGGGTTTTAAGCCGTGCCGACTTCCGGGGTCATTTTGCGCCCACAGACTCCAAGTGAATACATTAAATGGGCAATATAATATTTCTGGAGAAAAGCACACCTACTCAACCGAGGTGCGCTGTTAAATGTCCTTCGATACTACTGCAATTGCACTGCATTTATGCTTAGCATTAAGAAAGTAGCTTCGATAGGACAGCGCCACTTTCAGGCAGGCATTTATTCAAACATATTGGTGCACATCTAAAAAAGACGTTGGAATCCAGACTGAAACACCAGTCTCCTTCATTTTCTCCGAGAGTCAAATGTTTCCTTCCTCAAGCTCCATGTTCTTCCTTCTTCAACGATCTTTACATTGAGTTTATCCACTCGCAGGAGAAACTGCGAGTTATGTGGACTCAATGGTAAAACTATTTGCCGTCAATCACACGGAGCATTAAATTGCCGGGCTGTGACAAATGCGCTATTCGAAACACAGGGCGGCCGGCCTGCAGCGATACGGCGACATCTGCGTGTGAAATCCACTCGGCGCGTGCCATCTACCGGCCGTCAGCAGCGGCAGCACCTCTCGCTATCCTTGTGAGGAATTTGTTCAGCCGTTCAAACTGATTGACCAGCGTATCACCGACACTGTACTCCTAAGGCGTCCGTCATACTCCAGAAACATCGTGATGTCTGCTGGCGTCGTCAGGTTTTAAGTTTGACCTCGAATCCAAATAAATCGCTAAATGCCTGCTTTGGATGACAAAGAAAAAATTTCAAGTGGCATGTGCAGCAATAATCCTTAGTCATGCATGCCAGCTCCAAAGGGATCTTGTGATAGCTGGCATAGGTGACACTTGAATGTCCACCTGGTGCTCATCTGGTGCAGGTTCATCTGGTTCGCCTTCAACATCCCTTAACATCGAATGGCCTCCGGACTGTAGCAGACAAGCCGTTGGGCGCAGGAAACTATCCACCCACTCAACCTCTATGCCCGGAGCCCTTCGCCATTGTCAGTGGCATCACAACAGTGCTTGACTGCAATCAGCCACATCAAGAGCTCAGCCTAGAGTGCCCGGAGCGAGATCCTAGCCGAGCACCACTAAAGCTGCGCGTGCGATAGGCCACGTGCCGCACGCGGCGTGCAAACACACCCGCTGTGGGTAGGCTGCGCTCTCTGGACTGAGGCGCAGCCGTCCATATCGGCCCATTCACAATTTGGCCAGCTCGAGTGATTCGAGAATGCCCCGAACCCCGCACGTGGGGCGACCAACGCTGACGGCCGCTGCGCGACGAGCCGAACTACACCAAACCTGCGTCTTCACTGTTGGTTGTTGACCTCCCCCCCCCTCCCAGGACCAGACCACAGCACGCAGGCGGTCTCCGCGGTGCCGTGGCGGCCTCCTCACCGGCAGCGGCTGCAGCGCTGAAGTGCAGCGGGACGCCGTTTTGCAAGACGTTGTAGTAGAGCAGCGTGTCCTTGGTGACGTCGTAGCACACCGTCTCCGACACGTTCACGATCGCGTTCCGCATCACGTTCGGCATGAACCCTGTGATGGCACAGCACGGATGACGTCGTGACGAGGACTCGGGATATGATGTATGAGACACACCACAGTACGTTCATGCTGGACAGAATAGTGTGGATTTCGGAGTCGATTATTTTCCTAAAGTTAACCTGATAAATAGTTCCTTTCAAAATGCGCGTCGCAATATGCTCGTGACTGCGTTTCTTCCATGTAGCATTGTCTGCATCGCACTCAGTATCGAATTAGAGTACATTTCAACAACTGCTCAGGCGATTGCGAATGCCACGTGACACGTACTAGCGTTCAGTTCAATCCAAGTTCTGGACTGCCCTTTACGGTTTAAACTCTAGTACAAAAGCAAAACAAAAATCCAGACAGAGCATGTACGTCTCAATTGGGTCCTGTTCGCTACGGCGCAGCGGTGTGTGGGGTCAACTCCAGAGGGTCCGGCCGGGAACGCCTGAACAGAGCGTCGCGCGCCCCGAGCCCTCGCAGAAGGCGACACCTCTGCGGTGTTCAATCTCAAAGGTTTACGACGAATCAGGACCAAACTCACATATCCGGCAACTGGATTCACTATTCTCCACGCCTGAAACACCTCTTTCAACAACTGCACGTTTTCTAAAATCGCGGGAAGTGGGTTCGTATCGAGCTCTTTAGGGCTCGCACCGAACACCTGTGGGCTCGTATGGAGCGCTGTCTGATTCAAAGCCCAGCCGCGGCGCCATCCGGAGCTGGCTCGACCCAGCCCGGCCGACCTTGAGCGCTGGTGCGACTACGCACTTGTGTCGATCGCCGGCCCCAGCCCCAGTGCGACCCAATGTCGCGCGGCGGCAGCCCGCCAGCGCCGGCAGCCAAACTTCGGCTGTAATCAGCGCTGGGCTGGCGCCGCGCCACGAGTGGCGCGCGGCGAACGCGCCGACAGGTGCAACGCACGTGTGGGCGGGACTGACCCTAGCCCCGACACAAACGGGCTGATATGGCAGCGTCCAGAAACCCTTTGTTATGGGCGGAGATGAGAGCCTGCCGATGTGACAACAGTAACAGCCTCGCGAAGGCCGATTAAGAAATCGCCATCAATTGTCAAACTCGTCGTCATCGGAAGCGTCGTCAAAGGATGGCAGGCTGCCAACTTTTCAACAAACAAAGGACAGGCGCCTGTCCCAGCAGTCGCTGCCAAACGCCGAAGCTGGCAACGGCCGTGGCCTAGGCGTAACTCCGCCAGCAAAGGTGCCGAACTGAGTTGGTGTGGGGCGAAGCTCCAACAGACGAAAAGGCCGCCGTTTCATTGTAACTCGTCACCGCTAAGCGGTATCTAGAACAGGCAGCGAAAATGCGTAACTGCAGCCACGCGCCTCTTCATAGTCGGCCGCGACTGGGTTGTTTCGGTGGTTCTTCTGGGTTGTTTCATCACATATTGACTAATTTACCACAACTTAAAATGCATATAAGCACAGCGCTCTTGCACGTTTGGTTGAAAATGTGTATACAAAGTTGTCTGATGCCTACAATACAGCTTAACAGCTTTCAGCCGGATCACATAAAATTGTCCGGCTTTTTTGGCTTTTTAACCTCGTCACTTCGTGCAACAACACTGAGCTAACTTGCCAGGCACAAACACAGCAACAAATATAATTTTCAGCGTAGTCTTAACCCAGTAACCGTGGTCTAAACTACGGAAGTTAGCTTTTGATCACAAAGAAGTTCATGGCTGCCTTTCTAAAAAAGGTTGTTCATAAAGCCCAGCCGTGACACACTTTAGGAACATTCTCCTTTGACTTGTGCCGCATAAAGCAACAAACAAACTTGAGAATAAATAAACGAACTTAAAAATAAAACCCTCATCACTTTTCCATCACTTTTTGCACGACATGTAGACCAATAGATATAACTACGCCATTTGACTGGCACAAACCCCCGAAGCAAAGGACCAGTCGCCGTTGCTATGATCAAAATGATTGTCGTATGGATAGATTGGGCCATCAGATAATCGTATCCGCGAAGTTTCCTAAAAGTATGACAGGGTGTGCTTGGCACGGTAAGTCCGTCAAGGAACATCTGACTGGATCAGGAATGCACCAAAGAGCGAGTCTGGTCCGCAAAAAACAAGCACACGAATCAAGAACGGTCTTTGGCGAACATGATGCTCGTCTGAAGTCTGTCAAAGAGATTGTTCTCACCTTTCCACAGCCCTCGGAGACCTTCCGATCTGAAAATAGTGCTGTAGGCCTGTAGGGACGTTTTGTACCGCGGTGGTCCCTTTGACTGACTCTGGGCTTGCATTCGCACCTGGGAAGGGAAGCGTGCTGACGACGCATGGTCCCGAGAACACGGTTTGGCATGGCCTGTTAAGCGCCACGATCTAATCAGGTCGCTGCCATCATTCTGAAGCAATGTCAGTCACGGTACTGCAGACCGCCGCATTTGAGACGAGCGCCTCGACATGATCGCTTGCCATCTCCACATAGTTGTGACACTGGAGACGAAGTGGTCTGGCCCAGAGCACGGAAGCACAGTCGCAATCTAGCCCAGAGCACGGCAGCACGGTCGCCATCTAGCCCACAGCACGGGAGCACAGTCGCCATCTAGCACAGAGCACGGGAGCACAGTCGCCAATGGGAGCTCGGAGACGGTGGCAGCCGGCCGTCGTCGCGCCCCGGGATTGTACCTTGACGACGTCGGTGGGCTGGGCGACCATGACGGCCAGGGCGCCGGTCGTCATGCCAGCCATGACGCGGGTCGGAATGTTGACGTAGTTCTGGCTGGGGCCTGCCGGACACGACCACAGGACGTGAGTTCGCGGAGGCTCATCAGCAACGGGACACCAGAGGTGCACCGGACCTCGCTGAGGCTCATCGGCAGCGGGACACCAGAGGTACACCGGACCTCGCTGAGGCTCATCGGCAGCGGGACACCAGAGGTACACCGGACCTCGCGGAGGCTCATCGGCAGCGGGACACCAGAGGTACACCGGACCTTGCGGAGGCTCATCGGCAGCGAGACACCCGAAGTACACGGGACCTCGCGTAGGCTCTTCAGCAGCGGGACACCAGAGGTACACGGGACCTCGCGGAGGCTCATCGGCAGTGGGACACCGGAGGTACACAGGACCTCGGGAGGCTCATCGGCAGAGGGACACCGGAGGTACACAGGACCGTGGACAGCTCCGTGTTATATGCCCCGGCGAAGCCATTGTTATAAGAAAAAGAGATGTAAGATAATATGCAAGATGCGAACGCTGATAATGTACATGCCACACGACAAATGAGCGACAGGTGCATTTTACTTGCATTGCTAAAACTGGGTGCTACAACATGGCGCACCAGAGCCCGCTGGTCTGACCAGCGCGCGCGACCTATGCGCAGCATGGTGCTAGGTGCGGGCACTACGTAATGGCCGCTCCGAGACGATCATCTGCCATTTGTTGCCGCATTTGGTGTCTAGAATTGGATCCCCGTGATTTCGATGGCATTCAAATAATGTGTGGCGTGGTAATTCGGTAAACTTGCTGGGCTGATTTGTGATGGTTTGCCGATTCGTCGATAATTTAATACGCAAATAGGCATGCTTCCGCACAGCAAATAGGAAAAGCAGGGTGGTAAAATATAGCATGTTTGGTATAAGCAAGAACAATCTTGAAGTCCTGGCTTATCGGTATCTTGAGTTCTATAATTTGTCTGTTAAAGGAACTTTATCACATTTGCATGGAACTTTAAAGTAAGGTAGGATTTTAAGACCATTCCCTGCAGTTTACAGTTATGCCTTTTTAAATTTCAAATCCTCTCGTTTCTGAGCCAGGACGTTTACGCAAACTTGTGCAGACCTTTTTACGCCGCCTTTTTTGAAGGCATCCAGGGATACATTATGCCATGTAGACGTCACACAAATCCCGTCTCAAATTCTGTATCACCTACGAGCCGTCAGATTTAAGTACGTGATGTTGACAATTTAAATTTTGATTACTTTTTTGACGAAGTTTTGCGAACAGGTGGATGGTTGACAACGCGCAAAGGTGGTTACATCTTGGTCATGTTTTAATATCGCATTCATACTACTGTTGTCATCGTATGAAGCCAAACAATAAGCCTACCTGTTGGAATGAGTGGTGAATGCATTAAACTGAACTAAACTGAACTGAACCGTAATTTGTGACATATCATGCAAACATTTGGACAGTCCTGCCAGTTATGAAGGACATCAGACTGGAAACCAAATAACTTACAAATAGCACCGTAACTAAAAACGAAAACGCGAGTAAAATATATAAAACCCCTGACACATATGAATGAGTACTGCGAGGCAAGGGCCAAAATAGCGCACATAACGCTCAAATAACGCACATAACGCGCACATAACGCTCAAAACCTGAGCATGCACGCATCCGCCAACGTCGCCACCTTGCCGTGCGTGTCTGGCAGGGACTCTGTCGTCACATGAGCGTTCGATAACGTAATAACGCGATGACGTATTGAGGCACATATCTATTGGATAATGAAATTATGTTATCTTTAGACCAGTCTCTTCGAATCAAAAGCATACCGATAGTTACAAATAAGATGTTTCCATCGATTCTGACGCTTGTCTCCAGATCCAAAAATGTGGAGCATTTCATAATCAGCTTTCAATATACCAGGAGATGCTAGCGACAGTATCAAACAAACATTGGTTACATTGTCTGGGTTTTTACAGAATAACCAATGTTGTAATCAGTATCTCACGAACTCCATTTTGCGAAACCAAATATTTAGTTCATGTTTCCTCACCACGCTCTCGCTGTCAGCAGGGCAGCACGACTGGTAGATTTCGAATCACAAACAATGTCGAAGTGAAGTGACAAGGCACGTCAGATTATCACTCTTCGCAAAGTCTCTGAAACCACATCGTCCCGTACACCGCCTCAAATACTGCCTGCGTCCCAGCCTGACTCTCACCTCCGATGAGAGAGTGGTAGAAGTCCTTGAACGTGTCGTACATGCCCAGTTTGATGGCTGAGAAGCACATCTGTCGCTGCAAGCCAGGCGCCAGGCCTTTGTACAGACCCCTGCCGGACGGAAGGGGAGGGCGGCATTTGGCCTGATCAGAGACAAGCGTGAGTTGGAATAAACGTTTACTTTCAACAAACCGCAGGCAAATGATGCAACAAAAAAAAAAAAACGCCGCGTTGGGCGCAGTACGCTATGTCACGAGCAAGCAGACGATAATCAATGACTCCTTAACGAGCGTTTGGTCCGACGGTAGGTACTTTTGCTCATCGTCAGCTTTCATTTCTATCAATTCCTCAACACGCGCCCGGGTGGCCCGTTGGATATCCTTCGGTCAGGTTGGGGCCAGTTTGACCTCTCTGGGATCTCAGGAACTAAAAGAGGCTAGATACACCAAATTTACGCGGTGTGGCCTGTACCTGAACTCACTCAGGTCAAAGTTTGAGGTTCCTAGGTCATGACCTTTGCGTCAAATGAGGCCAAACAATGTCAATCTCAAGTTTGATCTCCAAAGTGCCCCCAGAACCTAGGATATCTGTTCTAAGCAAAAGGTTACATGATTATTTTAGGTTAGCGACCTTGTTTGACCTTTCGAAGGTCATGGTGACCAAGATTGTGCAGGACTGCTTTGAGTTTTGCATTTAAATAAGTGAAAAAGAAAACGCTAGACAATACGTTCAAAAAACAGAAAGGCACCCTGGGTTATTTAAGGTCAATGACCTATTCTGACCTTTGAGAAGTGCATGAAAGGTATGTAATACGGTGCCTGCTATCAATGAATTCTAAATGAGCACCAGAAACTTCCCCATACAGAAAGCCCCAGAGTAATGAAACAGATTGGCTTTGACCTTGGTCTGACTTTCAGAACTTGGGTCAATTGAATTTGTTAATTCAATTGTTGCGTCGCCTAAGAAAATATTTCAGAGATGTATGGCCTCGCCTAAAACGCCGTTGTTGCATCAGATTGAAAGATTCCCTAGAAATTGACTTCGCAGAATCCATTGCCCGACTTTGACCTGCGGTAGGTCAGCGAACTTACAAGGTGCATCTGAATTTTATTACCAAACGATCTGCTATTCCATTGCCTATAGCTATGCAAAATTTGGCGCGGCTGCAATGTGCCGTTTGGATACTATGCTCGAAAAAACCTTTGGGCAGGGGGGGCAACTTGACCCCGACCCGACCGCGTGTTAAAGGCAAAACAGCGCTAGCACACTCTTGGCCGCCCGCATATGTAATGCGAGTTCAAGACTCCTTCAAATATTGGGGGAAAGCAGACAGAGGTTAGCATATGCTCGGGTGGAAGTCAAATTGACCGCCTCCAATGTTTTTTCCAAAATGGTTTCCGAACGGCGAGGCGTAGTCGCGCCAAAGTTTGCATAGCTGTACATATTTAAATAGCGGATCGTCTGGAATAAAAGATTTAGATGTACCTTCTAAGGTCGCTGACCTATGGCAGGTCAAATTCAGGCCATGGTTCCAACAAAGACAATTTCTGGGGAACCATTCAATCTGATCCAACAACGGAGTGTTAGACGATGCCATACATCCCTGATATACTTTTTTAGGTAACACAGCAATTGAATGAACAAATTGCAGTGACCTAGGATCAGGTATGAGGGTTAGATCAAGGTCAAAACCAACCTGTTTTGGTAATCTCGGGCTTGCTGTATGGGGTAGTTTCTGGAGCCCATTTCGAACTTATTGACAGCAGAAACCGCATTATACACCTTCCATGGAATTCTTAAAGGTCAGAACAGGTCACTGACCTGAAATGACCCAGATCAACGTTTTGTTTTTAGGAACATACTGCTAGCGTAATCTTTGTCGCTTATTCAAATGCAAAACTCCAAACCGTCTTTTATTATTTTGGTCACCATGACCATCAAAAAGTCAGACAAGGTCACTGACCTTAACTGAGCATGTGACCTATTGCTTTGAGCCGCTATTTAGGTTCTGGGGGCTCTTTGGACACTAACCTGGACCTTGTTTGACCTTATTCGACCCGAAGGTCATGACCTAGGAACCTCAAAGTTTGACCTAAGGGAGTTCACGTAGATGACAATACACCCCGTTAGTTTGGTGTCTCTAGCTCTCTTAGTTCCTGACATCTCAGGAGAGTCAAATTGACTCCACCCGAGGACAGGGTATCTAACCACCCACCCGGGCGGGTGTTAAAACTTGACTTAGTAAACACATAAGAATACGCCTATGTGCAGACATACCCAATGCACAAGTTGACCCACAAATATAGTCAAAAAGTTCCATTTGTCGGACATTACCTTGGTCCTTCCTCCAGGGCGATAGTTTTCATCGTTCCGAGCATGCCTTGGTATTTTGGTGGTGCGGCGCTTGATATGACAGCTTCTTCGTAGAACAAACTGACACGTAACAAGAATCCAGAGGTTTCGCCTTGCACCTGAAAAAAGGAGTCATGCAATTAAGTGATCCCGGCACGAGTGCCCTCGCGCAATTGGAGACGAAACAACTGAAATTACCTCGCGAAACGCGAAGCCTGCCGACCTCTGTTGTCATGCAATCATTTGAACTCAACTGAATACGAAATAATCAGTACGAACCATGAGACGCAAGACATATGCGTGTCAGATGCTTGATCTGCAGCGCAATCATTTCGGTAGCTGCCACATGTCGGACAGAGGCAAATAAGCGCTTGGATCCAACATTGATCAAGACCACTTCAGCATCACTAATTACCACCACATGGGCCAATAACTGACCATCATGGACACCATCCATCAGTTAGTTTGCAGAGTGATTGACGACAAACACCGATACAATGCAATACAACGCACAATGAACCCGAAGACGCAAATTATGGTTTTTTATTTCAGTTTATTTTTTTAAAATTTGTTCCGAATGGTTTGTATGGGTGACTTCGGATTCAGAGTACCTGCTGAGCATAGCTTGTTGCGTGGACCCCGAACCCACCACCCAAGCGTGCCGTCCAGTTCAAAAGCTAATTTTGCCCCCGCCCTTTCGCCAGACAAGAATGCGGAGGGTCTTACGTGCCGCACAATGCTGCAACGCGGCCGCCTCGGGTCTGGGTTGAACCTCGTTGGCCAGTTGCCAACTGGCCTTTCCATTTCAGTCGGATCAAACAATGCGCCCACTCTGGAACTCGTACCCAGTGCCGCTGGATTACGAGTGCACCATCTTTCCCCAAGACCACGGAGGCGGCAAAAATACCTTGGTTGACACAAGGTTTGTCAAATCTACCATATCACATATAGATTTGGGTCCGATCCAGGGCAAGTTTGACTGGCTATCTAATGAGCATATCAAGATATCCGCGAACAAACCCGGATGGATGAGGTGTGCGCGTGAAGGGGGGGGGGGGGAGGGGGAGCAGGAGGAGGAGCGACGTTGACATTGAACCCGGACATCGAAATCGGCTTATCCATCTACCCAAGGCTACCTCTCCGTTGACCGCCGTCCCCTGCCTTTCCCGACAATCGGCGGTCCCGCGCCGTGTTTACAAACGACTGACACCGAAGCCGGAACATCAAAATAAGCTCCAAATACGCATGCCTTCCGGGAGACAAAGGTCATACCACAGCTGGCCACCGTTAGGAAGCAGAAATAGACTCACTTTAGCTCCAGCGAGGACCAAACAGGCAGTCCTGTTTACGACAACCTTGGCAAGTAGGAAGCTTTGGTGCGTGACCTCGTCAGACAGGGACGTCCTTCGTGATGGCATCGGGAGCTCGGGCGGGACCAATCGCTTCGTGTTGGTTTAAGCGCTTTGTTTTGTTCAACAGTGGATAGAGCTATACTCTGTCTAATGACTAATGCATTTGAAGCTGACCTCGAGCGATCAATGCAAAGACGAGCATCACAGGCGTGAGGTATCTAGATTCAATCAGGTAACCGTCGAAGCATCTTGGCCTTTTACATATTTTTTTACCGGTTAGGCGATAGTCACTTTTCAAACTTAGATGTACAACGACTAGCGTCCACCCATATTTTCGATGCCTTAAATAGGCCACGTCCCACCGAGCATGTTCTGGCAGACAGGTGACATCAGCCATATCATGCAATGATGAAGCTCGGCTTGTAGTAGCTCGGCTTGATTCTTTTCGTCAACATTTGCGTTGGTAGCAGCAGGACGCCAGCGGCACCACGAGAACAATGTGCAGATAACTACCCCGCCTGTAGTCCGATGTTGGCCGTGTGCAGAGGAAAGGCAAGGTCGTGGGAAGGTCAAGATCATGGGAAGGTCAAGGTCATGTCAAGGTCATGGTGTGCTCACCTGCAGTCTGACTTTGGCCGTGTCCAGTGGGAAGGTCATAGCGTCGGCGATGCAGGCTGAGGTGCCGGCCACCAGCAGCCGCTCGGCCATGCTGCTGGCGGGCGGCGGCACACCGGTCCGGGGCGTCCCCTGCTGCGCCATGGCTCGTGCACCGTCTACGTCCTGTGGGAGGAGCGGCGTCAGTGAACACGGCACCCGGACACTGCGCTTGGCGGCGAGCGAGCCGACTCCGGGGACGTCCTGCGGTACGACTGGGTGCTTGTGGGTGTTGGCGTTGTGAACTGTCATCTGACACACAAGGTACCCCCGTCTGACACATAAGGTACCCCGGTCTGACCAACACTGGATGGCAGGTTCATTAGGAAAAAGTGTCCTACGAGGGCTCAAACTATTCGTAAAGTGAACATGATGCAGTCAGCAACGTACACCGCACACCTACACACTCATCCTCACACCCGCGTTGGGACACGAATAGCCGGCTTTGCGTGTGGAAAGGAACCAACGAGTTCGACCGAGGCAGCGACCACTCCACAAATAAGCCCCCGTCGCGCTTTGCAACAAATTAAAGCGACAGCGGTCCGAAGCGCTTTGTCCATCGTCAACAAACACAGTCTCCGACCGATTGGACGTGGCAACTGACGCAGGTCCGCCGCGACCTAAGCGTTCTATCCACATTCCAGGCTTAATTTAGGAGCCTTACAAGACTGTTGCGCGTAGCGATTACAGTGTCTCGGTGTTTTGCTCATGTTAGGCTCAAGGTGACCGCGGCCGCACCTTGAGGAAGCCTTCTGAGGATTACACTGCGATGTGAATGCTGGCGTGAACTTCAGCCAGTCATCAGTGGGCCCGCCGCTTCATCCGAAGCCCCTTAAGTCAACACATGTGTCGCAATAGTCTGTGCGCGGCTGCGGGCTGGGGGAAGCTCCGCTCGTGGCCCAAGGCGGCCCTGGTGAAAAAGCAACAGCACGGTTCGTGCTTCTCACGGATGCAACGTAAACATATCGCTGTCTGGCAGCTCCGCAGGCAAAGGAAGTTACAGCGTCTGACACCGTTGGAACGGAGCAACTCTAGAGCGCTCATCAGCCATGGACCACCGCAGACCGGCAGTGTCTGTCTGACGTACCGCGGCGCCGTGCGTCGTCAGCAGGGTCGCTTGTGTCCGCCGTCCGCTGCCACCACACCGGCACGGCTCCCGACGCACACTGCCGCAGTGGCGGCCCGGCCCGCCGCCGAGCTCGGAGACGCGCGCCGCACGCCGGCCCGGGCCGGCTGCGAGCTGCCGCCGCGTCAGCCGACGTCACAGCGCGCCCCCTCCTCCTGCTATCGACCCCCCTTCCCCCCCCCCCCCGGCCCCGCCGCCGGCAGACGCGCCGCGAGCGGCCAGGTCAATGTCGAACGGTCACCGCCTGCCATTCGAGGACTCGCCACTGACTCAGCTGCTCCGATGACTCACGCGGCGAGCCGAGGAGGACCGATCAATGCAGGACGTGCTGTGGTCAGAGCACAGCACCTGTGTTCAGTCTGTGTACGCCGACGAAATGCTCTGACCGTGTGGGGCAAACGCCATCTCATGAAGCTGTTCAACGAATGCCGCAGGAAACGGTGACGCGCGTCCAGATATTAGCACGAAACCAATTGGCACAGGAGGATCCTTAATAGTTAATGATACAATGACAATGGCTATACTCGATCTACAATATCTTTACCAAGCGGGGCTTAATGACAAACACCACACCGAAAAACGTGATGTTGGGTGAGCTCTGGGTTTGAGTCCATTCGAAATTGGAGCTTTTGGTGTTATTTACGGTCATTGATCGTTTTTGTTGTACCGAATGCGTAACTCGGCACCGCACTGTATCGCTGCTCCTTGTTCAACAACGTCCAAAACCAGGAGTTTAAGTTCTAGATTAACCCCATTACGTGGTTTTTAAATCTCATCTCTTTATGTTACAGCCTGAATCTACACCAAGTTCGCGAGCATTGCTACATTTTTCCACCGAAAAGCGCAATTATCATGCAGGTCCTGAAGAATAGTTAAAGTTCAACGTGATTGGAGCCCTCAACTATTCTACATTTTCAGCTGTGCGAAAGCAATCCATCGTCAGCCGTTTAAAAAGTTGGTTCCTTATTCCAAAGCTGGCAACTTAAGACCCATCTCCTAATGCAGATTCATAACTCAGTTTTAGGTTTGTTCACCCAACCTATCTGTCTCTTGTTTGGAACAATCCAGCTTCTCATCAGAGTGGTCTTAGGTCTCGTCGATACACCGAAACCACACTGATCATTGCAGCCGATAACACATCTCCAACCGCATGGAAAGATCACCACCGTCCACCGATCGGACTTAGCGAGTGTTCCAAACTTGTGACCACTGTAAGCTCTTCACTAAATTCCCGCAACATGGCGTAGATGCAGAACGGTTTCGCTCTTGCGTGACCAATCATGCTCAGACCTTCGCCTCAACAGACCAACTCAGCGTCCAAGGAAAGCATTCACTGCCGCGTAATAACAACAGCCTTTTCCATGGAACCGTCCAGCGCGCGTTGGTGGACGGTATGCTCGCCAATGACTCAGCGACCTGAGCTCCTTTGTGCGGGAAGCCCACGCCGACAAGGACGCCGAAACAGGGACACTTCAAGGTGCGGTCAGACCGCAGGGAGTATTCCATCTGAAATGTCGGCCTTTGGTCTTTGGAAACGTGCCACGCGGAGAATCCACTGGATTTACAGCACATGCCGAAAATGAATGCATTGCATTTGGCGCTTTAGTCGAACTAGAGGGAAACCCTTGACGTCGCTGCTGTTGGTGTGGAGTATCCAAAGTTTGCGTTTTATCAGCATTTGGACATGTTTCATAAACTATTTTCACTAATGGTTAAGCATCCATTCATCGATAACGACAACGAATCGTCTTTCGAGGTGGTACACGTCATATTTTTACTTGGATTTTTCGTATTATGCAGCACTACAGAGATAATGAGATAGTTTTCCACAGGTTGGGAAGGTGTTACCAGAGCTGAGGATTTAACTTATCTTGGAAACACATGCTATGGGAGATGTGCTTATATTTTGATTCGGATTTAGATTTGAGATTAAGATATATTAGAATGCATTCAAACGCATTCGAATGAAGCTGAATCCTTGGGTTGAAGTATTAAACTAATACAATGCAATGAACAATAAGTGACTCAGTTCGATGGAAAACTATATCTACTTTTTAGATTTTAGATTACACGACAAAAATGTGAACTTAGAGACAATTCGAATTATGTTTCTAAATCATAGTTCTCAGATTTGGTTTAGTTTGTAGGATTTGAATGATAATTTCCTGCGTTCAAATCCTCGTTTGTAGGATTCGTGAGTTGGCAAGATTCAAACCTACTCGATTCCATGGGAAACATGATAATTGAATCCCCAACTTCGTCGGCTACCCCCGTGACCTTTTCCGCCTCCCCCGTCCGCTTACCAAACATCCCGTGTGGAGATTTCCATCCCGGCGAACCTTGCACGCGTCAGTGTCCTGCGATTTCCTGTCGTAGCTCAGAATATTGCGCTGGATTCCCTCGTCCCCGCTTACCAAATACACGGGTGTGCAAGACTGCGTGTAATAGCCTGAATTACACGCCTTGAGAGGGCACGCTTAGCGTGCGGTAGGAAAGGTGATGCAGGGGTTCAGGTAGTGCCGCGGGGCGCGCTGCCTCTCCTGTGCGCTAACGTGAGCTTTTGAAGAAAAGCAATACGAAACTGGGCATGGTGCCGGTGTTTGGCACTCACCCGAATCGTTGCGATTTTCCTCCAATTTCAGGACTTGACGAGAAGATAGCATCGCAATCCCGGCCTGGCGTCACGCAGCGCGTGAGTTTCTCTTGATTGATTTCATGCCAGTGCTATGCATCAAGATAGAATTCATGAGCATAAGTATATCTAGAATTTGTACCAAGTCCTTACCTACTTGTTATGTCCTACGTCCACCACTGCTTTCAGCACCATGTCACTTGCTCAACATTGCGATTGTATACCTACCATTCAACAATCTATGACATTCATTCCACCACTAACTCAGAATAGCATCCAAATAAGTTTGTTAGTTAATTATCGTCACAACAACCAAATTCAAAGATAATACAGTATTTGAATTGGTAATTGGTGCAAATCATCAAGTTCATCACATCATCCACAGCTTTTGCACTTCTTAGCGCTCCGCCTGCGTTTTTAGCGCAAAGTACAGTCAGAATTGCTAACTTTCGTTGCGACATCGCCTTTCAAAATAAAGCCCATATGTTACAGAAAGGGACGTAATCGGCTTTCCATGCGATAAAGCCATCGGGACGATCGTGGTGCAGTCAGCGTTTGCACGTGACAGCAAATATGTGCCAACCCTGTGAATACGTGTAATCGTAACTGGCTATAATTGTCACACATACAGACCTCGCACAAGTGCCCAAAAAAATGAGCGCCCAAAACCAGTTTACCGATAAAAACAGCAAATCATGCAGATGAAAAGGTGACGAAAACGAAATAACAATGCCCTTAAAGGAAGGGAGCGGTTCGTGTTGACCGCCCTGTTTGGGTTGATGACGTCACATGGCACCACCCGGCCAGAGTTTGAGGCGAGCCAATGGACGGCGGGGCCAAAGGGCACAAGCGTTGGCGCCAAGTCTTCTGCCAGACGCATGCAAGTACGCCACCCGAGACAAGGCAACGAAATGGGGTCGGGATTAATACCGTTTGCCAATCTGGGCCCAAAAGAGGAACAGCTAAAGTGAGAGCAGGATGAGAACATGAACGAAAGAGCAAGTGAAAGAATGAGAGAGCAAGCAGTGGACAGATTAAGATAGGGAGACAAGGGGGCAGAGAGAGAGAGAGAGAGGAAGAGAGAGAGAGAGAGAGAAGAGAGAGAGAGAGAGAGAGAGAGAGAGAGAGAGAGAGAGAGAGAGAGAGAGAGAGAGAGAGAGAGAAGAGAGAGAGAGAGAGGAGAGAGAGAGAGAGAGAGCGAGAGAGAGAAGAGAGAGAGAGAGAGAGAGAGAGAGAGAGAGAGAGAGAGAGGAGAGAGAGAGAGAGGAGAGGAAGAGAGAGAGAGAGAGAGAGAGAGAGAGAGAGAATAAGAGAGAGAGAGAGAGAGAGAGAGAGAGAGAGAGAGAAGAGAGAGAGAGAGAGAGAGAGATTGGGTATGTGGAGGGCGAGCAGTTCTTTCACGAGATCTCAGCCTTGTATGGAAACAACAGAGGCCAGACTATTCTTGCCTTACCCTGGCTCATAGGAGGCCCAGGAGGGGTCGGCCGGGCGGCCGCCGTACTGTGCACAGCCTATTGGGAGCCGCGCGGGTCGGTGCGCCTGGCAACAAGCGCGCGCCCCTCTCCCGCCGCCCGGTGACAGTGACGTCACAGGCAGACGGCGTGGTAACTGCCGCTGACCACAGCCGGCAGTCCGGAGTCGAGGCGACTGGATCAAACCGGTGTGTATCAAGATCCTTCCTCTCGACTGCCTCGTCTGTTCTATTTCGTCCGTCGCAAATAGGGCACAGCCAGTTTTGACCAGACTGTTCGGAGGCGCGTTCGACGAGAAGACGCATAATCGGACCGTGTTGGCGGATATGTGCTTGCCCGGTAAATTTTCAATCCACTGGATGAAATTGAATACATAGGACCATTGCAGTGCAAATGGCTCTTGCCATTGCCGTGGAAGATGACCCAATTAAGGCCAAATACCCGTATACTTTAAGAAGCACCCGCCTCAGGCAACAACACGAGTCATAACACCCCTTTCAAATACAGCAGGCGGCTCGCTTGCGGCGTCGGCGTGGCCCAGGTGGGAGCTATCTGTACGGTGTCCGCAGGTCACGGCGGTCCCTCAGGTCACAGTCGGCGGCGGCTGACCAGCTTGCGGCGTCGGCGTGGCCCAGGTGGGAGCTATCTGTACGGTGTCCGCAGGTCACGGCGGTCCCTCAGGTCACAGTCGGCGGCGGCTGACCGGCGCTACAGCCTGATCGAAACACCGCCACCCAGGTGTACAATATCAGGCGGCGCAGGCCAGCACAGCTGTGGGACTGTCGACTGACTAACATCGGTGAGGTCATTAACAGTTAAAGGGGCAGCTTTGTCATGCGCAGGTGTTCATCAGCAGTTTCGCGCCGAGCACATTTCCAGACGCAAGGATGTCATTTTCTTGAATCGGTTGGGGGAGGGGGGGGGGAGCTCAGCCCAAAAAGGTTGACTGACCATCTCCCAAAACTTGATTTCTCCCCACATTTCGCCTACTTGAATTTGCATCCTCGATGACGTAATTTTTGAACAAAAAATTTCTTACGTATTTTGTAGATGCAAAATGGTTTTCCTGTAAAGGTATAGCTTGTCATTTTAAGTTAAGATGAGCTGCCTTTCTGTGAAAAGCTTAGAATGAGATGCAATTCACAGAAAAAACAGCCCGGCAAATCTTCGTCGAGGATCACTGATGACTACTGTCGTTGGACGTGTTGTATAACCAAATTAACCTAGATTATGCGACCAATACGCCTGCCACTGTAGGGGAATACATGCGCTAACTTTTGTTTGGGCCACCCTGTACATTTAAAAACCATCACGTATTGCAGTCCATTGTTCTTTATCCCCATTCAGGGATGATTATTTGACAGATTTAAGCAATTGCTGACTGGCCTAACATGTGACAGAATTAGCATGACATCAACATTAGATATGCACAAGCTTCTATTAGATACAAAAATTAGCATGATATTAATAGCGATGTGCTTAGGTACATACCACATATGGTCACGATTGGTTAGGATGCTAGTTCAGTATCTGTTTGGTTCAGAAATCCCTCTTTGCTCTGACGAGCATTCGTTCGTGTCGCTTATCGTGCCCGTGGCTCTCTGCATGCACACAAAGGATTTGTGCGTTGTCTTCTACCCTCACATCCTTCGGATGTCAGCCATGATGCCCTTTCGGCCGCACATAAGGGCATGGCTTGTTGACTACTTATATAAAAGGACATTGCAGCTTTCCGGCTATCGTCTAAGAAGCTGCTGGATCAATGCCACATGCCAATTTCACCACAACTGCCGGCCAAGTTGCGGTGAAATCAATGTGTCCGTTGACATTTCCACTGAAAACTCAAGCGCCTTAAAAACGGTCCACGACCGTGAAACCAGGACTGAGCAGCACATAAACTTGCTGCTTTCCTTCCGGATGCTGTGGCCACTGAAGCCGATCCACATAACCACGTCAAAGCAACACATAGCATCCGTAACACTTGTCATGACTATCGCATAGCATGGCCAGCTCCTATCGCCGTCCTCCCGTCGTACCGCCGTCACTGCCACGGCCACCATCCCGCCACAACGCCCGCCGGCCCAGCAGCATCGACTGCTGCAGGTTCAGGTCCGCCGGTCACAGTCCTCCTGAGGCGGGGAGGGGAGGGGGAGGCGACTGGCGGGCCGGTGTGATCTTCCCCGATGCGAGCCGGTCCTCGGAGGAGGCGCAAGCCGCGCAGCAGCCAGGTATGATCTCCGCAGTATGAAAATGTATCCAAGTGTGGTGAACTAAAGCCTACCAGCGCGTATGTAACTTTGAAAGATAAACGTGCCGTCGATAATTAACATTAAACTGTCATTGGATGCCCAATCATAGGTACACCCACAGCTGCTTGTGATTACCAGGTCCCACCACGCACAAGCAGTTTCCCGCGCCACCATGCTCGAGACATGCACCGATATCTGAGCCGCGCGCGCCGAGACGCGCGCACTCCGCTGAAGCGTGGCAGCTATATGGCGCAGAGTAACATAAACAGCGGTCCGTCCGCTCCGCCCGGTATTAATGTCAGAGGCACATCCTGGGCCAGTGGCGTCACCAGGATTTGAACACCGGAGGGCGGCCGGTGCTCGGGGGTCTCAGTTGACGTCCTGGGGTGAGGGGTACACATGGGAGACCAAAGCAATGAAGCGAATGCATTGCCACTGCGGCCAGTGGGCACCACGCCCAGTGGCGTGTCGCGACCCTGTCACGTGGTGGATCTCACCGATTTCCCGTCACTTTATGTTTTTACGGCTTGATGAGCCTCGCCACCTCCTATTGACCTGGCTCAGGCCCTGACATGACCTTGGTCAGGCCAGTGGTGAGAGACACGACGGACTTTATGCAGTACCGCCACGGCGGTAGCGGTATTGCAAAACGCTCTTTGTGATAACACCCAAGCCAGCATGGCAGACAAAAAAAAATGGCAGGGATCGGTCGAACAAACATAGTACTCTTACGAGAGCTCTGATAACCGTACAAATTGGCCACCTTTGCACGGGTGTAGACCGTCAGAAGCACTCACAGATAGGGATGTCCGGACTTGGACGGCGACGTCGGTTCTTGCACGACTCCCGCTTCGAGTGTCGGACAGCAGTGAGTTCGGGGCCGCAGCTGACCCCGGCCCAGCCGCACTTTCGTCAGCGCTTCGCTCACACCCCCGCCGCCGACCAATCAGCGCTCATCGTCCGTCTGACGTCACGGCCAAGCCCCCGACCTCAGCCGGCTCCAAGGATGCCGGCCGCTCGGCGGGCGCTCATCGGCTCGCTGGAAGGCCGGGCCCGGAAACCTGACCGCAGCACGCGGCCTCGGCTGTGCCACGCTCCCCCCAGTGTTGCAATGCTGGGGACGTTCCGTAGCCACGAGACGCTCTTCGGCAGAACTGTTCACACCGGGCCTCCAGGCCGCCTGGAGCAGGCTGGTGCTGCGTTACGGTGACGTAACGGCGCGGCAGCAGACGTCAGCGCCTCAGACGGGGCTGAGCGGCCGCCGGCTGCGCGGGGCGTCAAGGTGGGCAGGGTCTCGTTAACAACCCGGGCAGCCTTGGCGGCGAACTGCGCAGTAACACCGCGTAACGGGCCCGCACCCATGGTGCAAGGCCACAGCCAGCCCTGCGGCTCTTCGGGTATGCCACCCGCCGGCGAATCATTCAGCGTCCGCCGCTTATCTGGTATTAACGGATTGTCTGTCAGTCAGGCGCGAACGATTGCACGAATTGCGCCAAGGTCTTTTCTACACGGGACAGCCTGCGATCGAACCGTACGGCAACCCTCGGCAGCATCGGAAAGGGACTTGGATTGAGTGGGAAACTGTAGTCAGAACACGGATCATCAAATGCATGCCGACGCATACATCTTACATACCCGACACAGTCAAAATGAGCAACGAGCTTTCAGCCTCAAGCTGTCCACGAAATGTGAGATGCTTTCCCTTTTCCTCCAAGCATATTTTGAAACGCGCGCAAACTCACTATCGCATCAGCATTGCTAGTCACTGTCGTTCGGGACATAACTTATCAGTCAAGCATCTCTAGAAGAAACATGTGGTAAGAAGCCCGATACATTGGAACCAATCCGGACAATACAAACAGAATGTCTCAGACGTGACTCTCGATTCTAGATAACGGACACTGCCTGTTTATGCTGTCATAGTGACAATACCGCAGACTGCAGGCTTTGCCTAATGAATGCAGACTGTACCTAATGAATGACAAAGCAGAATACCAGGACCTAGTCATTATGTATTTGTGAATTATTAGTGGATTCAGTCTCGACGCAATCTCGGTTTGTTGAAAGAAACCCAATCCGAAAGGCAGCGTTTAATTCAGGATTTAGACGTTGGGAGACAGCATTATGTTGCAGCAAGACACGCTCACCCAAAGGCGCGTCAAGCCTCCGGGGCCGGCGTCTCCACGGTATTCATCGGGTAGCTCGACGTCGTACACTCCCGTGACCCTGTGACCGCCAAATCAGCCTTTCATCAGCGTACTTTGCCCTCTAGCACATCCGTTGGCTGCCTCTACATCCGTGCCTAATCCCTTGGGCTGCAAGTCAAGCTCGGGGCTTGTGGCATGGGCCGCCTGCACGGACCGAGCAGTTAAATCAACAGGACATCGGACCTTCAGACTCGCAGACGGTGTGCCCGGGACAGAGTCCACGCACGCCGTCTCAATCAGCCTGCTGCGCAATGCGCCTCGTGACCGGACTGGAGGTGCTGCTCTCTTCGCTCGGCGAGACGCCCGGCTGCTGTTCAGTACCGAGGGAATCTGCGGAGATGGCGTGGAAATACGGAACAGCCATCGTGAAAGTCTGCCTTTGATGATGTCACGAGAAGAACAGAATTTATACGTGAACAAATATTCAAAAGGAAACGCGATTGGTTTTGTTTGGGGTCTTTATGTTACTAAAAAACGTCCTTCCGTAAATCAGAAGGCGCCGGCTAAAGGACTGAAGATTCGGTGACCCGACGGCTTGCGGGCGGGTCAGTGCCGCACTCACTGGACCGGGCCGCTCACTCGCCGCTGACACCTGCTCCTCCATGGACTCCTTCGACTAGAAGATGACCTAAGCCCGAACACCTGCCCTTATTTTCTGGTTTCCGATCCCTCCTTTTCCCCTGCAGGTTAGTTGCATCCATTGCCAGAAGCGCAACTTTATTGTTACTCTGATGGGTTGTGCCATGAGCCATGGGAGCTCTGTGGCCTGGTGAGATGGCTTTATCTCTGATCCTGCTGGGCAGAGACCCCCAACGGCGTGTTCAATGAACTAACGTTGATGATGTCCTGAGCACCACCTGGCCATTCCCTCCCGAGTCGCCCGATGGCCGCGGACAGCTCCCCCTCCCTTCCGGCGGCGGTCCTCTCATGCCAAGTACGGTGGGTGGTGGGGGGAGAGGAAGGAAGAGGGTGCCAGCAGTCAGGACGGTAGCCCCTGCAATTCGGTCGTCTTGACCGAGCCGCACATGACGACCGCCGGGCCGATAATAATTACCCCGCTTGCATGCACAAAATTCAAGTATATTCGAATCCATTCAAATCCTCCGAATCCAAATGCTTGGGTCTAACGGGTCCCCACTGAAAAAGTGCATGCTTGTCGCTATGCATCTGATGGACAAATATGCCAAGCGCGTTCTGATTCCCTTTACTCCGTCGCTTTTTCACGACGACCTGGGGCAATGGAAGTATCATGTGCGGGGCTTTTATGCAGATAGGTGTGTGCAATAATTAGCTTCATACACACACACACACACAAATATATATATATATATATATATATATATATATATATATATATATATATATATATATATATATATATATATATATATATGCTGAGTGCCATGCTGTATGTTATATATAGCTACAGAGATATTTCGTATAGCACGCAAATAAACAAATATATACGCATATACACACCTGTATCTATATGCATACATAACATCGGTTTGTTGGTAGACGTCTCCCTTCACAACCGTGAGCACGATCAACGGAGGTGCACACAGAATTTCTGAACACCGTACAGGATGGGGGTGAAGCACAATGCTGAATTTGGAAGCCACTTTCTTCCGTGGCACGGCTTGAAAGGTCTTAAGCCGAGTCAAGTGAGCTATATGGACACCCTCCCCCTCCCCCCCCCAACGATTCCCTGCAGAATCATGTCTGAAAATCGACACATGAAAATTGTTTATCGCCTGTTGGTATATAAAACAAGGATGTCAGTTTTGACTAAACGTTTGCCAAGTTGCATGCCATGACATGTCCTTAATCTGCCAGATGAGTGAAGATTGGTCTTTCCAATGTGAGGAGGGGATAAATAGAAACACCCAAAGTATATCGACAAACCCCAAAATGTTATTTCCTGAGATTTGCGAGATCTTCAACAGAAATGACAATTTGCCGTAGTTTATCGCTCACCGAATGGTAGGTCTCAGCAATGTTTGCATGAACACAAACTTGACTTCCCAATCAGACGTGCTCGCCATTGCATGAACAGATCAAAACGCTTCTACAAATTGGCGCTTTCAACTCGGAACACAACGACAAACATTTCTGCGGTATCCACTGTAAGTCCCGCCACCCTCCCTTTCTGTGTTTCGCTGAGTCGCTGTTCAGGACGGCGAGAGGAGCCTACCTAGGGGCCCCGACGACTTAGCGGGGAATCCCAATGCGATCACATCGACCAGATAGCGACGGGCAACAGGTGACATATTGTGTGTAGTTGTCTATGCGATTTGACAGGCAAGGAATTGAAGTTTCAAATAATTGTCGATTTCTTTGCTTTGAAAGGACTTCATTCTTTAAGTTCAAAAGAGACCAAATTGTATTTGTTTTTCGTTGCGGAATGAAATAATCTTATAACTTGTCCATCATATCGCTGAAGAGCGACTTTGAGGACCATTTTTAGCGCCTAGCATGCATCAAAATTGCTTGCATCTATTAAAGCCTAGTTATGCCGACCTCATATAAAGCCAATTGGTGGCACCAGCTCCGCGGCGTGATTTCCCCACTGAGCAATAATCTGCATGCGCTAACTGCACGATCCCGCCAAAGTTGCATAGAGACAGATTGTGTATATAAACTCACGCGAGCATGTTATAACTTGGAAAATATTTTCGAAACCTTGGTACCATATTCACAAACGTAATTCAGTCCCTACAACACAAAAAAACACTCTATGTTTTTTGGACCATCGGAAAACTGCAGCCATGCACTTAACGAGCCAGCAGCATAGCACACATAAAATAACCCCGTTCTGCTGACGCTGGGCATAATAGTAACGTACATATTTTTTCGTATCACAATATCTGAAATGTGTCAGTATTAGGTATATCAGTATATCAGTATTAACCAGGAAATGGATACCTCTTAGGTATATCAGTATTAGCCAGGAAATGCAAAATCCAGTTGCGTTTCATTTGCATATGCCTGTGCATTGCACCCATAGCTTCCACTTGGATACGTCCATAATGCATGACATTGATGCATTGTTTGCAACTGATCTTAGCGCGCTGTTTACAAACAATACGCGTTCCATGGTCATGACACTATCAATCCAGCCTGGAGTCATCGCCCGATATGTGTGTTGCATGCTTTGTGTTAGAACTTGATAAAATCTAGGTATCATACAAACATCACCATTTTGCTAAACACATCCAAAACAATTCACGTTGAACCGGTAAAAAACGCTTTTGAAAGCATGGGGTAATTAGCACGTGTCAATGTATGGTATTTATAGCTATGTGCTAAATCATAAAGATAATGCTGTCTAATAAAACGTTCAAAACAAGAATGCGCACTTCCTTTCTGATGTCTCTGAACGTGACGTTGCCTTTGTGTTGGCTACTGATCACCAGCAAGCATGTGGACATTGGCCAACGTCGAGATGGCCAAGGATATGCCGACCATTCCGCCCCAACCCATACCAATCACCACGGTTGCAACGGTCCTGCGAGTGAATAACATTGCTTCCGACAGCTCACAGACCTACGTTGTATCGCCTTACCTGCGTTTACAGAACAGATCGTAATATTCGCCGACAGAGCGCTCCTGCTGATATGTCTCGACAGAGTACGGCCTCATCTGTCGGGTGCGTGAGATGGCCTCCTGTGGGGTCAGGTCAGCAAAAGCGACCAGGTAGCAGGCGACCATGACGCCGGTCCGACCCCGGCCCATCCGACAGTGCACTGCAACCGCCTGAAAGCACGGACCAGAGTGACGGTGAGCACAACACCGAGCCCAAAGAAAACACATGCAATTTGCAAGATGTAGACAGAAGACCTCTATTTCGACTTCTTCGCTTGACTTCTCCGACAATGTTTACAGACGCATACAGATTGCAAGCGGTCGAAGGCTTCAAAACGACACCAATAATGACGTAAGTTGTTCAGTCCATTAGCGAGGAACATTATTCACATAGATATCACATATTCACATAGATTAGCCTTATTCCTTAGAAAAAAAACAGGAGAATGGAGATATGGTTTGGTTGATATTTCGGCAACATGCCTTTATCGAAACAAAAGCAGAAGCTGCTTCTTCTGCGGCTGTGCGTGTGCGAGCGCGTTTGCGTGCGCGTGCGCGCACGCGCGCGTGTGTGTGTGCTTTTTTTGCGCGACAGTGGTCATTACAAGCTCAGGCCGCGTTGCTTGCGCAGCGTCCTCCCACCTGGTCCTCCCTGGCCGCCTCCTTGCAGATGTTCACGAACTGGTCGATCTGCTGCAGGGTGGGCGCCTCGAACTCCTCCACGTGCAGGACCGTATGACGCAGATAGTCAGTCACCGCCGGGTGTGGTGGGCACTCGGAGGACAGCGTCACCAGGTGGCGCACCCCGGCGCTCCGCAGGAACAGGAGCTCAGCGCTGCGCCTGGGACAGGAGAGCCCTGCCAGTCGGCCCCGCGCCACCCAGGAGAAGTTGTAGGGAGTTCTCACCCTCTCGCTGCAAAACATATCAGGAGCAACCGTTGGAACTTAAAGAGGTGTGCACGGAAAGTATTTGTTCACTTAACTTTTCCTCAAGCGACCTAAGCGCTCAACACATGACGGACACGTTCTTTTTTATCAATTCGTCTAACGAGAGATTAACACAGTCCTTCACATCTCCAGCGCTTGAACACTACAGCCAGATGGAAGTTGACGTCTAATAACTCGTGAATCTATGTTCGTTTCATGCTTCCTATCACTAATACAAGTGCCCCTGGTGGGTCAAAGCGGCCAGTGAGGTAGATATGGTAAGCACCATTTTTATCTCTGTGATTGCCGGACGAGTGTCCCCCAGACCTACACCGAGGTTTCCTTCCGAGAGAAGCTTGAAGCCACTTAAAGGATGATGTTCGCCCTGTTGTTGAGTTGCGTGGGTATACCATTATTTCAGTTAACTTAGAACATGTCATTAATTCACTCTCCACAGCATTTCACGTCAGGCGTCCCGAAAGTTTTTTATACCACCCACCACACATGGAGCTATTCAGAATAGTAGGTTACTAAAGCAATACTAGCTGTTGGCAAGCCAGATGACGAATCGTTTGTTTACTTACTGTCGGGTTTGTAGATAATAGCTCAAGACCGTTCTGAATGACACAAACTAAATAAAATGCTGATTTCAAAGTTGATATTGAACAATGGGAGCGAGCAAAGTGCTATCGCTGGCATTTCACGCGTTCTCAGGGTTTTTGCATGCAACCCACTAGACCCTCCAGGTACGCCGCGCTTGGGAGATAAGTTTACTTTCAATGTTTACTGGCCCGAGACTCCTTTCGCTTTTATCATGCTACACACAAGATACAGCAACCGTCGATCTGTTAAAAACATCAGTCCAAGGCGTTAACGGGGAATCGAAGCGGGTTCGAAGCAACGTCGTTGGGTTTTTCTTGATCTCATAGATGAAAGGTTGACTTGTGTTCTTTGCTGTGTTAATGGACATGATCCACAACAATAAATTATAAACGTCCGAGGCACACCCCGCAGGTGTCTAACTCTGCCATCACATCCGGGTGAGATCCAGAGGTCATCAAACTCTGAGTACGCTACCCCATCTTCTCCCGCTTCTACTGGACGCGAACACTGCGGACAAGCTGAACTTACGTGACATTTTGAAGGTCAGACATTGTGTGACTTAACGCAGAAAGTGTTGCACCCACCACCACTAGCAATTTAACATTTCCGGCCGCGGAGCACAAAGAAGGCACGTCATACACGCTCGCGGTTGGAAGGTCGACCTCCCCTGGCGGCGGCGGAAAGCCACAGTTTGGCCGCCAGCCAGGAGAGGGCAGATGCCTCGACTGCCGTCGGCTGGCCCGCATCCAGTTTAAAAACGGACCCAAACCTAAAACAGTATAGACTCAAGGAATAACAGCCTATAACACTTTTTGTATCGCTGCCCCTAGAAACATGTCTCTCATGTTTTGCAAGCGTGGAGTTGTACTTGAAACCGCCATGAGCAATGAAGCCGATGCATGCGCTGTTAGGCCGTAAACGAAATGTACGGTTTGTTTATTTTTGTTCAATTCTTAGCTTTTATCGCGTGCAAATCACTAGCTGTTCGCCCGTTTTGCTGAAAAACTTGCTTTTGGTATATTAATCGAAGCACTATTGCAACTCCGGGCCATCTGGCCAATAAAGTCATGACATGGTCAACGCGGTATTGACAGGATGCATCAGTGCATCCTGTGTTCCTCTTGTCTCATGTGTGTGTCGTAACCAAAAGGAAAAGAGCGTGATTTAGTAGTTAACTATTGCAAAAGTACGTTGAAAATAGACTGCCGAGATTCACGTGTTCGAATAGTGTATGCGAACGGGCCCCAGTTGCAGGGAAGTCGTCGACTGCCGCGCTGCACTCGTCGCGCTCTCGCTATAGGTGTCGCCGCAGTCGGCATCTGAGGCGCCTCCTCCCAGCCGAGCTACATGTAGCTGATTCAGCTACGTCTGACCAGAAAGCAGTGATTCACTTGGAAAATGAAATTTGGGCGATGAATCGGGCAGCTGCTGGTGCAGCAAATCAGATTCACGCGTTCAGGGGGCACGCGTCGACGGTCAATATGACGTCGCCAGCGAAGCTTGACGCCACAAGCGAGCCAACCCCGGCCACGCTCAGGCAATTGCGGCAGACTGGCCGCCAATGACTGCACCCAAACCTCCCGTAGCTTTGTCTGCAAAGTTACCAACATTCATGGGAGCGGTCTTGAGAGTCTCAATTATTCTGAAGACCATGACGTTACATATTCAATTGCAAATTGCATACAACCTTTTTGCGAACCCTCGAGCCTATTTCAAAAACACAACCTCTAAAACGCTCAGAAATTGTATTTTGTTAAAATAATGATAGAACCACATACAAATTACACTGTATACAGATATCAAACTGAACTAAGAAAATGAGGAGCAGCTATAACCGGAAAAGAGCAGTTAAGTGTTTGTGACGGTGAAAATAGGCTGGACGATAAATCTAGTGTTCAGGCAGTCAGCGTCTTCAGTGCATCTCTAGGCTAACGTCATGAACAAGTATTGTAGGATGCATTAGTACGACACTTTTTAGTTATCGCATCATCCTTTCACTTCGCCTTACATGTTCTTTTGAAAGAAACGCTTCCGACGATGGCAGTCCAATGAATCCGGTGCACTACGTTCATTCCTAACTAAAAACACTAGCCGGTTTATCCCAAACACCGCCTCGGCGGGGTGCAGAAGAGGGGATAACGCCAGCTTGCATAGCCGAACTCCCACAAAATGTTATGATATGCAAAACGCATCAGGTTTCGCTTCTTTTTACCTGAAGGAGCGCAATGTAGCACACTTTTCAGCTCGGAGTGGGGCTCCAGACTCCGCACTTTGAGAGGAAAGTTTATAAAAAAACTGGGTAAAAAGCTGTTTTGGCGCATTTTTGGGCAGTGATGGCTCAGCAATTATTCCCTGCATAGCCTCCAGCGTACTTTGCGAAACCACACCCGGGTGGCGCACGCAGGTTTTGTCGAAGGGAGGAGCAGAGCATGAGGCTTTTCACCGAAAAATAAACTCAGCACGCCACAGACGCGTGAAATAAGTTGTTTAGCATGAAACCATATCGTGTGTTTTATGTATACTTATTTATACGTCCCATCCCGGAGTATTTCAACGCCGAAATTTAGGCGTGGACACGCTAATGTGTGTAATAAAAAAAATTGCAAAAGGGGTACGTCCCATGGGAACACTACATACAAATGCTCATGCCCTGTCATGGGTTGTTGTAAAACAAAGTTTCACCATTGACAGCACAAACTTTCACCAAAAATTCATAATTTTCTTGGAAGTCCAGAAGCCTGTCATTACTGCCCAACTTTGGCCATCTGGGATCCTAGCCTCGTTGCACCTCCTGGATCCACCCTGGAGAGTGCTGGGTTCTGGAATGTCTACAATTTTTCCGTGTGTCCCGTGAATTTCCGTGTGTCTAAAGGGTGGATTTATCGATGCCAGAGATTTCGCCAGATCCCTGCCAGTTCTCCGTTTCGTCAGTTGTTTGGGGCACCAGACTGTTGGGTTCTAAAACTCCCAGCTCGTCTGAAATCGTTCATCAGCTAACGATTAGGAGAGTGCCACCGTACGAATCCCCTCGCCTGTCAAAACAATTCACCGCCGGCGCCTCCGTCTCTCGATCCCGGCAGGCGGGTGCGGCTGGCGCAGTGTCAACGCCCTCGGGCTATTTATGCGAGCGCAGCGCTCAACGACTGCGGCGGCCATGCCTCTTCCTTCCTCGCCGGCGGGAGGAGGCGCCGCGCCGGCCGGACGAGGCGTCGCTCGGGCGGGACGAGGCGCCGCGCCGGCGGGACGAGGCGCCGCGCCGGCGGAACGAGGCGCCGCGCCGGCCGGAGGATCTCCGGCCTCGCTCGATCATGAAACGCCGCCACCTCCGCACAAGGGTCGGCTGCTGTAAAGCCAGTGTTGTGACCGGTGCTGCGTGTCAGCAAGGAAAGCTTGAACTTCTGGATTTTTGATTTGATGCGCTCTTACGCGAAGAATTACCAACCTTCAATGTGTGAGAAGGTACTGATAAAACGACCATATCAAACGGGCGTTGGAATAAGGAGTACTCCACACCATTCTGTGGTGCATTCTTATAACGCATTCTGATTTTTCCATACCGCTGTTTAGCCAGTACTTCCCGTTTCAATAAATGTGCACGATCTTGGTTTTGTTTTTCAGCACAACTGGCTTAGTCATTAATTGAAGCAGCTTCCTTGAGCAAGAAAGCAAGCACAATGAACATTTTTAGCTGTGAATACCTTGTTTGAAACTCTATGACTCCTCCATAGTCTTACACAGGCTGTCCTAACATCAAACGATGCTTACTGAATATCTAATGTGACCAGCTCGCCGCCAGTATGCTCTCCAGGAAACGCACAAAGGCATTTGTCATTGCGCATGTATGATGACAGTAAATATCTGAGATTTGAAGCAGACGTTTAAGTCGTTAAAAATCAATTTTATTGCTGATATGCGACTTTTTGCTGCTGATTTGTGCAAATTTCTGCAACCGATCGCATCATTTGGTGTAATTTACCTATGAACATCATATACGCATTTGCATGCCTTGTTCCTTGCTAAGACGTTTCAAAAAACGGATCCAGATGAGCGGAAAAGTTCTTTAGATGTTATCTTCGGTTGTAAACCTGTTTTATGGTAATCATGTCAGAGGAAGACAGTGAATGAAAACAAGAAAACACAGTTGAACGCCATATACCCTCTTATCACAAAAATTGTAACACGTCGCCACCCTATACCAGACACGCAAGCTGTTATGCACAAACAGTCGCCATTGATTTTAACGTCTGGCATATTACCGCATTGATAGTTCATATCACGCATTATCTATCCTTTGGACTACTATTTCTGATAATACTTTAATAGGCAAACAAAAATAAACTTTTCTGGGTACTCTGTAGAGGAGGTTACCAAGACTCGCGTTCACATATAATTTTGGAGCGCCATGTCAGATAAAGTCAGAATAGCACGCTTGATCCATTCGACGGCAAATTTGATTTTTGCACGAAACCCTGCCCGGATGAAGACGATCACGGATTGGCAGATCCTCAAAGTGAATGTTCCTGCGTTGGCACCGATGGGCTTCATGACCAGTGACAGGTGAATATTCTCGAGGCCTTTAATAACGTCCCACGGGACGCCACATGCTGCTGCAGGATGAGTTGCAGCACGTCCCGGGTGCGACCATCACCGTACAAACTTCCTGGGTGATGGCTACTAAGAGGTCCGCGGTCGTACTGGGCTTATTCGCGCAACCCAAATGGTGACCTTCCGTGGGGCGCAAAAGTTAACACCTCCAACTTGCCTCCTCCCGAGTATACAGAATTACGACCGATGGCGTAAGCACTGAGCCATAAGTTGGGTTCATTACTGACCCGCAGACTTTCAAACACGCCAGGGTGCTGGCTGAGCCAACTCGCCTCAGCCAAACACCGCTGGCTGTTACTCCCGTCAATATCTTGCCAATCTGCCGTCGATGTGGGCGGCATTTAGTAGCGTTGCTCAATAGCGTGTCAAGAGACGCCTTGCGAATTTTAAGATCTTGTGACTGACGGTGGGTGAACTGGTTGGGGCTCTGCGGACCAGAGCCTCCCACTCTAAGGAAAGTTATCATACAGGCGGACAGATCTAGACTTGCCAGGACGCTGGAGATATGTACATCACGAGCTGAAACAACCGCACTTATTGCTCTAAACTTCTTGATCCGTCCACTATGTCCCTATGCAATGTCTCGTTTTAAAAGAGGCTGACCAAGTCTGCGGCAATGTCAGACAGTGAATGCGAGCGGCCTTAAGTGACCTGATGCACCCATTCTTATAAAGCGTGAATGAAGTCCATGACTTTTCATGCCGAGTTTAATCCCGTAGTAGCTAGCGCCCGTGGCCAACACAGATGCGTCGCTCATCACTTAACAAAAATCTTTTTGTGAAAGAAACTGCCCTGCCTTAAATACCTGAAAGGCGAAAAGTTCAAATGGTATCACGGTTTAGCTAGCTCATATAAAATTCAAACACACACACACCATTTAATATCTGCAACAAAATACGTGACGGGCAATTACAGTTCGTATAATTTCACGATCAAAATTACACTGTCTGCCATGGTTCTCAAGCACATGACCTTGGGTCGTTTGCGTGCATTACACTATGACACTAGTTACGCATAGTAATTCGTGGAACAGCTTTAGAGATTGCGTTGCAACTTTCGCGTGCGTACTGTGTACTCACGCCATGCGTACTCCTAGTATTCCATGTGCAAGCGACTGATCAGATCTGATAAAATTCAGAACGCACCACTCACTAGCCCGCATCCAGACACCTTCCTTCCAACGCCTGATTACAACAACTGACCAGGATACTTCACACTGACCGACGCCGTGGCTGTCACGGCCCCACCCAATGGCGGACACGTGGCGTGTTTGCCACGCGTCGCACACGAGCCATCGCCACCGCAACGTCCGTCGTCGCGTGCGCGCTCAGGTGACCGTGCGTCCGGCACCCGATGGCTGTACAGGGGGATCGATCAGCGCGCCTCGTGGTCCGTCCAGTGACAGAGGGTGACGCAAGCCGCTGTCACGTGCCTTCGGCCTGACAGGAAGTCACCTGGCTGGCCCTGCATGGGCCAAGGGCCAAAGTGGAAGGCGTGCACTTTTCTCGATACGAGACGTTTTGTTTATTTGTATGGTACGAGCTGCGCTGTTTTAGCTTTCGTGACCAACCCCGAGCGGCCGTGTATCATGTGTGCACACATCCACCGGTGAGCCTACCTCTCACCTAGCCCGCTGCCTGGCACTCTGTTGATGTCCGGAACCCCGGGCGCTTGGGAAGCCAGAGATGGTCTAACAAATAACACCATCCATATAGTGTTGAAGGAGCCCCATGTTAATAAAATCCTGGACTGTAACTGAAGATAGAATAATTACCGAAGGCAGGTCATTGAAACCATCTACCTTCTCTCGTTCCAATCCCACACTCAAACGGAGCAGGCAATGACATATCTTGACTGACCGGCCGGAGGGCGTGCCTTTCGGTGATCCCCGCCTGCCCAAACTCCTCTTGTTGCACCAGAGGACCCTGCTTCCTCACGCCCTATTACTGCAGGAGCGTGGGTGCTGCACCCGCTGAGGCTCGTGCCTGTAGCGGTGGAGCGGGGTGGTGACTTCTCTCCGGCCGTATGTGTCGTATGCACAGAACGAAGTTTTGTCAGATATTTGCATGCAGTTTTCCCACGTGTTTGCACCTTGGGTAGCTAACACAGCGCCTCCTTATTTACAGCCATGCATAGCAAAATGCAGTCATCAATGACGCCATCGAACTTCGCCAATCTTTGGGATTCTTTGACCGCACTTTCATTTTAGCGTCACAGGACAGCCCAATTTCAAATCAGGTTGCGATTGTTGTCGGAGTTTGACTACTGATTATCTTGTGGTTGATTTTGCGTCTCCTTCGCCAGAAAACTATACCAAAAGTTTGCCTGTGCCGCAAACCTCATTCTCGGTGAAATCTAAGGTCACCTCCAAACTCAGCCAAGGTCTGAGACGAAATATCTGACGGAGGTGAGTCTGGGTGACAGATCCGCGTGATTTACGCCGAGTATGAGTGTGTGGCGTCTCGCACGAGTTTACGCTTGAATACGAGATCATACGCGGGCTGAGCTAGCACAATTCTGGTTCCGGAGTCCACAACTCTCGTCCGCTAAAGTCGCCCGTCGACGATCACAATGTATTTACACGTCAAGCTACAGGAGACATGTGTTTTCGCGCCCGTGGACGAGTAGCGGTCCGATTGAAGTCAGTACATCACCTCCGCTAATTTCTGGGCCGTGAGTAGCAGTGGCGCGGCGGAACGGCGGACTCGCCGCGGCCGCGCCGCCGCCGCCGCCGCCGCGTGGACAGGTGGCGCCTGCCAGGGCAGCCGGGGGTGCGAGCGCGCCAGCGTGCGCGCCTACAGCGACTTCTCGATCTTGATCAGCTCCAGGATGCCGTCGTGCATCTCCTTGACGGCCTGGTACTCAGTCAGACCCATGCGCCGCTTGTTGGAGATGTCGTACACGCCGCCCTCAGCCTCGGTGTGCTCGCCGCGCGTGCCGCGCACCTGCAGGCTGTACTTGGCCGCCACCTCCTCCAGCTTGGCCTTGTCGGCGGCCAGCTTCGGCACCTTGATGTGCACCGAGGCGCGGATGGTGGTGCCCAGGTTGGTCGGGCAGAAGGTGAGGAAGCCAAGGCGGTCGTGATGCGAGAACGGCACACGCTTCTCGATGTCGTTGGCGGCGGTGACGAGGCGGCGGTACACCTGGCCCAGGTCGCCACCCTGCTGCATGGAGATGATGCGCAGGTGGTCCTCCTCGTTGCACCAGACCAGGAAGGTCTTGTTGTTGTTGTGGTAGATGCCGCGGCCGGTGGGCCAGAAGCGGCAGGCGTTGGCCGCCTGCAGGAAGCGGTCGCCCTCCTTGAAGAGGAAGTGGTCGTCGATCAGCTTCTGCTGCACCTCCTTCGTCATGCCGGTCAGCGGGTAGTACTGACCCTTCAGCTCGCCCTCCAGGCCACTCAGCGTCGACGACACCTTCTCCTCCATCTCCTTGTACTGGGCCTCGGTCAGGCAGGGGTTGAAGGGGTAGCCCTGCATGGAGCGGCCGCAGCGCACGCGGGTCGAGATGACGTACGTGCCATCGGGGTCGACGTTGCCGACCGAGTCCACGTCGCCAAAGTCCTGAAGCGGAAATAAGAACGAGCTCATGGGATGAAGCAGCGTGGCTCACGCTCCCACCGCTAGTATCAGTGCAGTGATGGAGCTTCAAAACGAGGCAGCAAGACTGGCGATAACTGATGATAGCATGAATGATCAACGTGGACGTACACAGACAGGTGATTCCACACTCCCGTGTGGCATGGCTCACCGTGCAATGCTGCATGTAAGACATATGATGAGCAGATAATTGTTTACTCGGCCACACTTACGACGACCGCTTGTCTTAGAACCAAGCGCCCTGTCCACCTCCGCCATCTGGAGCCCTCGCGCGGCGACGTACCTTGGCCGGGTGACTGTCGGACTTCTTGAAGCCGGCATGGTAGTCCTCGATGATGGGGTCGAAGAGGTCGGCGAACAGCGAATAGGCCTCGGCGTCCGGCGCATATACGCCCACACCCGAGTCCAGGTTCTCGACGCCTGCGAAGCGGAATGAGCCGTCACTTGGCCGTACACGACGGCTGCCATCTCCATCCACACATCATATCCGTGTGCTGTGTATGAGCTGTATACAGGCCAGGGGACCACGTGGGGAGATGTGACTTTTACCTCGATTCTTTCCACGCAACACCACATGCTCAAAGCCGACATTTTTCAGGGATGCAGGAGCGGGCGCTACCCTTTCGGTTCCGCTCCCTCTACGCGGTTCTCTGCCTCTGTACGGCCATGCAGGTTCATACATTCTTCACGTGGCACATCCTTCTATCACGTGTTCCGTACGTATGTGACCAGGTGAACACACCCTCAGAGCCTGGTAGCCTGGACCACCTGCCCCTACGCGGCGTGCTATCGAGACCGGACTATGTGACCAGCTGAGCACACCCTCAGAGTCTGGTAGCCTGGACCACCTGCCTCCACGCGGCATGCTATCGAGACCGAACGCAAGCGGAGCGGACTGGCTGCTCGCGACAGCGGAGCATGGTCCTCGCAGGCGCGGGTCGGCGCCCGATGACCCAGCTCCCAGATCGACCCGGCGCCGCCGCCGGCCAGCGCGCTCATTGATCCCGTCGGCAGCCAAGGCTGGCCGACGGAAATGCCCCGTGGTGAGCCCCGCCGCCGCTACTGACCGCACGCCAGGTCAGCAGCAGCGGCGACAGGTCACAGTCGGCGTGGGGACAACGCCAGGTCAGTAGCAGCGGCGGGTCACTGTCGGAGTGGGGACAACGCCAGGTCAGCAGCAGCGTCGGTGTGGGGACGGGCAGACGCGATGGAAAGCCGGGGCAGTGAGCTCTAGGGATGGCCCGCGCACAAACAGAGACATACGCATCCGGCTTGGGCTGGGGGGCGGTTGCATTTTCCATTCCATATCCAGCGACTCGATTCAGACCGGCCTGAGGCTGGGAGGGATTTTAAGCCATGTTGTTCACGCCACTGTTGTTCATAGCATTGCCGTTCCCGTTAGGCTGAAGTCTGGAGTCCCGTTGAGTGGGGCCCAGCCTGGCCCACTCGGACGCGGGTGCAGCATCAGCACGGCTGCCAGGGACGGCTGGGTCGATAGCGGAGGACGGGAGGGATCCATCCGGGCCCGGTCTGGCGCTGGGGAGGGCGGCGGGCGCGAGAGGACGGAGACCAGGGCAGCCAGCCAAGCCTCATCTGCAGGCCAAGCAGCCTGACGCGACAATCGGCGACCAATGTTTCCCTCTCTGAGGAGACAAGACAAAAAACCCGCGTGACAAGCGTGCAGCGGCAGTGACATCGATAAAGCACAAAAATAATACCTCCAGTCACAACAGAGGCCCTAAAATCTCCTGTGGGCTGCAGGTAGCGAAAACTCGCAGGGAAAATTGGCTTTGGCACCTCTCCAGGAGTGGCCGCAGTTTACGAGTCCAAAAGACCTAGGACGATCGTTGTGTTGCCGTCACTGATGATGTTGACCGGAATGCCATCGTAACACCTCAACAATGAGAATGGAAGCTTTACCGAAATCTTTGCCGTCAATTTTAACGAATGGCGACCGCAATAGCGAGCAATGCCCGCCCGGAAAGAAAGCCGAATGTCAATCGCAACTCAAGACGGCCTCCATCCTCCGAGCATTTGAGGTCAGTGGACCACATGACTCGAGCATTAATGGTAACATCTGTTCCGTTCATTGATTGTTTCCAGCAGCCAATCTGTTGAAAGCAAAAACTGACGGCGCGTAGACAGTAAATCACCTGGGCATATGGCAAGAGCTGATTTCTGCTGCCTGAATCAGAGGTCTGAGACCTGAGAGTACTCCGTACCAGTCTGCACCGTCGGCTAGAGCCGGGTCGGAGCTGCCGCTGTTTCCCACGGCGGCCGGGAGGCGGCGGCCGACGCGTTCCGCACCGCCGCGCCCCCGGCGGCGCGCGCTATTTCGGGGCGCCGTGTTGCCCGGACGGCGGGATGCCGCACAGGGCGACGGTCGATCGCAACGCCGGAGGAGCCTCCGACGCGCGACGGAGACGACGGACGACGGCGGCGGGCCGATCGCCAGCTGACCGGCAGCCGGGGTCGACACGCGCCGGCCAGCACCGCCGCACTCCGCTGGCCAGGGCGAGGTTTGTGTGGAAGGTGCAGCGCCGCTGACTTGCTTCGGCGGCGAGAACGGCATTACGAATCTGGTGGAACGCTTCCTGGATGGGGGGCTTTATTTAAGAGTGCATGTAAAGATAACAGCAATCTCTAAAAAGCAAAATAAGATGAGGGCTCCCCTCGGAGATAAGACGAGACGTACCCGTAAGACTTGGAGCATTTTACCATCGCGACTCCACGCTGCACTAGTATTACTGCCTGTAATTTCGCCATGCATCTGGGGAAAACCTACAAACTGCGCAGCCAGTGCAACGCATCGGGATATTTGGTGCTGAGTGAGGTCCGCATGCTGGGAACTAAGGAAAATCCAGTGTTTCAATATGTCTCGAAACTTTCATTCATGAGGACCGCATGCAAAAAGATCGTCCACGGCCGAATTTACCGACTAATTGGACTTGCCTCGTGACATAGCACCTCATAAGCAGCCGGTCTTGGCACGAGCCTACATTTCCGCTGGCCGTCATAAAGACGCCGGTCCCGAGCCACAAATTTAGGCCCGGCGCCCTGCCGTCGGTCTCCCTCCCAGCAACACAAATGCTGGCGACCGAGCACTGTTGAAGTTGGCCGTGTGGGTCGGCCCCCGTGCCAGTCGGCCTGCGGTCCATGAACTTGACCTCGGATGCCCTTGGGCCGCAGGAATAGCGCGCGGCCCGGCGCCGTCGCCGCCGTCAGAGGAGCTCATGCCAGCTCTGGCCGGCCGCCGCCCGCAGGTCACGAGTGCGGTCAATGCGGCAACGTTGGCTAGGTCGATCTCACCGCCCAATTACCTCAGAATCACCGCTCTGGAGACTTAGGCTTCTCAGAAATCGGTAGGCAAAATTTACGGGAACTGCCATGACCTGCCTCCATAAGAGCCATGAGAGACATGGTAAGAACACGGCGAAACTGGTGTAACCTAGCACACATCTGAGGCCCTCAACTGGTTTTGAAGACGACATCAACGGAGGAGCACCTTTGGATTATGCTCAGACAGGCTGCGGTCACAACGCCTAGCCAAGGGGCCGGGATGGGGGAAACGCCCCGATGGTCTATTCATTGGTATGGTTGATGAAGCGTTCCATGTAAGCACCAGCGGGCAATATCAACAGTTGTGCGGCAGGTATTTGCGAAGAATCACGTATCACGTTCACTTCGAATTTAAAGGTATATATATATATATATATATATATATATATATATATATATACAAGTATACATGCAATGTTGACGGCGTGCGACAGAAATGTGCTCAATATGAATCAGCCGTAAGGTACTGGGTTTAAGAGAAACGTAATTTTTGTTTAAACAAACCAGATATCGGCAACGCACCAACGCTTGTGCAAACGCCAGCTACAGGCCAACAGACGACGAGGTCTGGTTGGCATCGACACTTGCCTTAAACTGACAGTGTATTCAACGTAGGCAAATATTTCCAGGATCAAAAAAGATGCAACGTTGCTACTCCCCGACCTGCGCTAGCTTCTCTGAATTGGCGTGATGCCAACTGCCGGCCCGAGGAAACCAGATTTTGCATTAAATCACGCTGCATAAACGCTAAGTCTCGACACTTACCAGACTGGATGACATCCAGCAGGGTGGATCCGAAAGAAGTCTTCTTGGTCTTGAGGCTGTCAAAGACCTCCTTGGTGAGGTACTTCTTCAGCAGCGACTTGCAGTCGGTGGCGGCCTGCAGCTTCTGGAAGCCGGCCTCCAGCTTCTCCATGGTGGCGGCGTCGACCATCTCGCTCACGGTTTTATTAGAACTGTCGGAAAAAAAACATTTATGTTAGTTATGGTGCGCAGGTCGGGGATTACACTCAGGTGTCAAACCGCCCCGCTGTTGGATGTACACGGAGATCTGTGTGTTGTTCGTGTTGCCTTCGATGTGGACAGTTTTAGGAATAATGCAGTAATATGCACATCAATAGCTTTGAGCCACATGTGGCTACATGCACGTGTATGACGTCCACCGGGATTTGTCTCGACATCGTGTACTTGTTCAAGGTTTGAAGATATGGTAAAACCTCCAACATGTCGGCATTATGACACTTGGATATGAACGAGACGCGCTGAGAAACGTGGGTTAGGACATAACTTAATCATGGTACCGCCTTTTTTGTTCGGTGGTTTTGAGACCTAGTAATTGCATCAAAAATAATTATTGAGCCAGACGCATCCGTGCTGACGGATTCTGTGGGTTTATCGAAAGTTAAGAAAAACTGTGCATGCATTCAGTTAGATTGTCAATGGCACTAATTCAGGAAACCAAGGACCTATCAATGGACTCCAAGAACTCGGACAAGCAAACATTATTATGATTATTGGTTTGACTTTCTAATATACCGTACGTTAGTTATTTTCAGAATAAAAATTTGGCAAACCAAAATTACCTGGAATTTACGAAATTTGTATTCATAGCACAGCTCATTTCTGTACGTTTCAGCGAATTTTCCCTGTCGCATGCCCTATTCCATAAATTTCAGCGGTGAAGAGATGTAGGGGATTTAAGAGACTACTGCATTACGTCGCACATTACGAACTCCATCATGTTCTACAGTTGTGATGCCGTCATAACTTGCTTCAATGAGTTTCAAGCATGGAAGGGGTTGTCGAGGGACGTCACCGTTCTTTAGTTTATTTTATTTGCTTTATGTTCACACTGAAGCCATGGAAACATGCACCTGTTCAGCGCTTGATGTTCAGCGCCTCGCCCCGCAAACCTCATTCGTCCTTATAACATGTGCAAACCTGTATCACAGAACACAACTTTTATATCTTTTCATCATAACTGGAAAAAGAAGGTAGATATAAAACAATGACAAAACGGAATTTAGGGAAAAGCCCAATTACTTGCGATGGGAGATTTAGTCCACAACAGTTATGTAAAGGTACATTTAATGCCATCTGTGTAAGACATATTGCGAGTTGCTCGCGATTCCAGCTCTGTAACATCAAAATAAGTAGCAAAGTTTTCATCCGAAAGCCTCACCATTAATGTTACGTATTAACAGGTGTTTGAACCAGCAGCACGCAAAGCGAGAACCAACGCAAAAAAGTGCTTTCGGCTCTGCTCTAAAGCCAGCACCGAATGACAATCAATCATCCGCCTTAACTAAAATTGACCAAAAAGGTTGTCACTGTATTAACATAAACACAGATCCGATGACTGCCACCAGGTGGAGAGCAGACTTACTTTTTTCTGAGATATTTGATTGGGGGTCCTCCGCTCGCTCCGGAATGCACTCATTCTCCCGGAACACAGTGCTAACCCGCTAAATCTCCGTCTAGACATCTAGTTAAGTTATCGCATGCTGCTGCCCATGTCATAAGAGCAGTCTTCCTCGGCCACATCATAAATACATGTGTGATTTCCAACCCATACACTGGCGACAGCATTGTTCGTTCAGGATTATCGCCTGACAAGCAATGACACACATGTAAACAACAACTAGTCATTCCACGTTAATATTTGAGGCTGTATGCCATGCAATAGCCAGTTTAATGCCTACACAGCCACTACACCCTCGCCAGCCTTGCAATCCAAAAGGCCAAAGCCACTCCTTGCAGGAAACGCACGTGCCCCTACGTCACGGCGCGAGGTCACATAGCGGAGCAACAGACCCCCGTGGCGGCCGACCTTCCCTGTCGACGATACCCTCCGGTTGTGGGCGTATCACCGTCCACGGGACCCCTGCCGGCACCACGTTACCTGGAGCTCAACAGAAGGAGAAGTGAGGCGGGAAGATGGGAGGAGAGAACGGCCCGGAACGGCCCTCCGGCGGCGAAACGCTAGTTGGTCGCCAAAACGCCAGGCGGCGCTGCCGTCGCCAGCCGGCGCCGTGCCAGGCCGCGTGATCGGCCGCCCCGCCGGAGACGGTCCAGGCAGCGGCAGCGGTCGTCGTCCGATGACGGATGAGGGGCTCCTCTTGCGAAAACAGCGCGCTCACGCTCGCCCTATGTGTTTGGCATGTTTGCCGTGCTGCTGACCCGTCCGGTTTCGCAACGCTAGTGAATTCGGAAAGGATGGCTTGTGGGTTCATTTGCTGCTGGGGCTTTCAGACAACGATTCGTTCGTGTCTGCAACTAGCTCTTACTGCTGCAGATTTTTTTCTGAGATGCGGGCACGCAACTGGAAGACAATGTGGCTGGAAGCGTCGGATGCCGTTGGTATCCAAAGCTAACATTTATCCAACCTTTCGACAGTTTCGTGGTGCTCCAGGCAATGGCCCAAATCACTGGCGGATGCAGGGTATGAGAAATTGGACGAACGCGTGTTTGACACAGTGTTGAAATTTCATACATAGCAACAAATGCTGCTTCTGTAAACATTTCTGCACTTGATGCCGCCTCTGTCATGGGGTCAATCTCTGCAACGTTTTAAGTCCGCTGCGACATCATGGCCTCCACCGCTTCATTGCAGTGGTTATGATGCCCAACAGATGATTTAAGGACCGAAACTAATTTTGCATGGGTGTGTAAAATTGACAGTCAGGAAAAGCAGGGATAGAACATGAACTTTAGCCTAAACTCTCGCTCTGATAGGGCGGGGGCGGGGGGGGGGGGGGGTCAATGCGGCCACCCCCACCGCGAAAGGTTTTTGACGATGCGTTTCAGGCATGTCGTGCAATCGCCGTCAAATTTCCAGCAGTCTCTAAAGCATTCACTGCACGGGTTTTCGTGACAAAAATGCGTTCTTAGCTTTGCTTGTGCCGGAGCAGCGGCAGTTTTCCGGAACATTGCACGGCGATCTACGGCCTGGCGCGGCCGGTGGTTGGCAACCGACGATACCGAGTAACGCTCGCGGCCGGTCGACATTGCTACATTAACGGAGACATACATCATAAATTTATGCCCAAACACATAAAAAACACAATTGTACCCAGAATACTTCAGCAAGGAACACGCCTTATCGGACTGCGACCATTTTTCCCCCTACAAGACCGCGTTATGAAAAACGGCGTATCCGTGCGAAGGTTAACACGCGTCAAAGTGGCCGGCTAGATCCACTTTGCTCGGTGTGGGGGGGGGGGGGGAGGGCGGTCAATTTGACCCTCTCCCCAAATTAAATAGCGTCAAACAAGGTCAAATTCCAGGCTGGTCTCCAAAGTGTCTCTTGAACCTAGATAACTGTTTCTAAGCGAAAGGTCACATGCTCATTTAAGGTAAGTGACCTTGTTTCATCTTTTGAAGGCCATGGTGACCAAAATCATACAAGACTGCTGAGTTTTGCATTTGAGTAAGAGACAAAGGTTATGCTAGGCAGTATGTTTGTAAGAACAAAATACTGGCATGGGCCGTTTAAGGTCAATGACCTATTTTGACCTCTAAGAAGTCCATGGAAGATGTGTTATGCGGTTCCTGCTCTCAATAAATTCGAAAGGAGCGCCAGAAACTATCCCATACCGCAAGCCCTGGAGCAATAAAACAGATTGGTTTTGGCTTTGGTCTCACCTTTATACCTGACCTTAGGTCAACGTTATCAGCTGATTCAATATTGTGTTCCATGAGAAGGCATCTCAGAGATGCATGGCTTTGTCTAACACTCCGTTGTTGCATCAGACTGAGCGATTCACGAGAAATTGACTTCGCTGTAACCATGGTCTGACTTTGACCTGCCATAGGTCAGCGACCTCGCAAGGTACATATACATATTTGGTGCCAAACGATCCGCTATTTAATTGTTTACAGTATGCAAAATTTGGCGCGGCTACGTTACGCCTGCGGAAACCACTTCGGAAAAACCTTTGGGGTCAATTTGACCCCCACTCGAGCGCGTGTTAAGTACGAGCATCGAGAGGGCAATGGGCATCATAAGTGAGGAAATTGTCGTCCGCGCCAGCAACATGTTTCGCACCAGGATCCAGGAGATGCTCAAGGCTGACGGTGCTTTGATCGCGTAAAAGCTGCCTCCACCGTGCAAGCAGCCTGAAATGAATTATAAAATGCACCCATGTTGCATCTCTCGTTATTCGACGGGCGAATTAACCTATTGTGTTATTCCGGCATCCGCCTCCGGCCAAGTAACTTCGATCGCCCCAACGGGAACAGTTAGGGAAACAAACAAATGGCTAGATCAACCAGAGGGGAAGGCGAGTGAGACTGCACATACGCATGGCCAGTCCAAACGACCTGGTGTTGTATGATAATAATGCAACCACGTACGAGCTGTCTGAAGAGTACGTGCAACCAAGTGCACGTACCAGAACGTGCAGTACGTGCACCTGTTACACACTGATGACCTATTTTATTGGCATTCAGATTTCAAAGATGTTCTGAGGCATCAATATGCATAATCCTTAAGTGCTTATTTTGCAACGGAATACGGCCTCCAGGTAGCAGGAGATGAATCCGGGAGAAACTCAGACTGGTGCAGGTTAACCAACTACATTTGATAACCATCGCATGTTTGCCGGTCCTGACAGACCCTCTTGGGTGGGTGGGTGGATGGAGAGAGTTGGTGGTGGGCACCCCTTCTGTCCTTTCATTGTCCCTGGTTTTCGTATACACAATCTTACATGTCTCCCGGATCTGAATTTAAGGGGCATAGCAATATCGACCAGAGCTCCTCATAATGACGCAAACCGCAGACCCGGTAATCCGCTGCCAGAATGGAATGCCCCTCCCCGTGGTTAGGGGCTTTATTGGAGGCATCTCGGGTTTAACAAGGCATTGCTATGCTTGGGATGGAGAGAGGCTGGACCCCTCTCCTTATGGTTTTGTCTTCTTGACCGCATCTGCTGTTGTACTGATTTGACTGCAATGA